AATAATCACTCCTGATGCATTGCCTAGTGCCTACTTAATTTATTACACCCTAAGAAAGAAGGGGGGTATGGGATTCAAACTGAAGATTTTAACCCACAATTCCATCATAGTTAAGTCTAACTTATCAAATATCAGGTTATCTTATCTACTGGAAAACTCCCAAGAGAATTTACCAACGTACAACAAGTTTACATAATCGCAACTGGAGGTACATTCTTCAATTTGCAATTCTCACAAGCTACAGTTCTCTTTTTGGTGGATGATGTAATATTCTTACCCTACAAGGCCTACATATCTCCCGGGAATCACCCAAACACAAATTATGTTTGAAAGTATCATGCTTAGAAGTATGTGGGATTTTCCATTGATGATGTAACTGACACCTAATGTTACCTATAAAGCAAATTTAGAGCTGATGTTCACTTCAGGCTGATTATATCTCCTCCACATAATTAAAGCAAATATCAGAATAATACAATCTCATATAGTAGTATTTGGGTTCTACTTTTTAGCTACTCTGAATAAGACTCTGTATAGGTAGCTCAAAGTAGGCCAAATTGACCTTTCTGACAAGAAGATTTCAACCTCGACTGGACATTTCATCACATGAATATTTACCAAGATTCCTAATTTACTTGTGACCTTGATTTAGAGCTAATTTATATGAAATGTAGAAGTTTACATTTCTAGTATTTATATTCAAAATTTCATTCATAAAACTATCAATGTAGCAGAAACTGTCTTATAGGATAATCGGGTATTTTGATGATGTATTGAGTAAAATAAAATTGATCCGAAACATTTGGAAAACTTTGAAATATGTGGCAAATAATTACTACATTGAAAAACGGGAATTGCTTGTGTGAAAAGTAAGCTTTTAAATTACTGCATTATTCTAATGCTCGTTTGTGTCTTGTAATATTGGCACTAGCTGGTAAAATATATATTGTTAATTTGGTGGAATAAAGATTTAAAAATTGTGTGATGACCTAACATATATATAATATTCTTGCAACATTTCAATTTTAAATAGTTGACTGAATCCTTATATATATATCACGAAAATTATTCAAAAATTTTACTATAAATCACTATTTTCCAAGAAAATGAAAAAGTTTCCAAAAAGCAAGAATTCATTTTCAAAAAAATTCATCGCAAATTTTATTGACATATAACTCATTTAAAATCCCCAACTATGAAAACAATGTTGTTCCAATGTTGGTCTGAACTCGAATTAATCCTCAACCTTCTTTATTAAAAATACTTTTTTAAATCAGATTAAATTCCATGGTTTTATGATTGAGCGCTGAAAAGTAAGTTTTTATCGATTGTTTTCTCCATGTTGGTGAACCCCCAGATGACAAACTTATTTCCCAGCCGCTAACGCTGTTATGTAAGCCTTCGGCAGACTTGTTTTTGTTAATCTTGATTGTCTATATTTTTAAAATTTAACTTTTTGGTACAGTGTTATTTTCAGAATACATTCAAACCGAATTCTTTGTTCATTCTCGTCACCAGTCAGTGCTTTACAATGGGGCCTTTATTATTTATAATATAAATATAAAAAGATGAATCTTAATATAAAAAGGATTCACATCCCATGATGATCTATGACTATGACCAAGAAACTTTTCGAATACTTCTATTTTCTACTTGTTATATTAACTTTATTAATATTGAATTTGAACCTCATGGGAACAACGACACTTGTTATGGTCGAGAATCGTTGGGGTTGTATACTGCTTCAAATCTTATGGGAAATTACCATGTGCCAGAGAATTGCTTGACTTCTTGACCGGTATTTAAATGCATAAATATAAAAAAGTAAATCTTTATTTTTGAAGCAACACTTAGTAGATCTTTTTATGTGTTCCAGCTACTTTGAATTTTTACTTATTTTACCAACTTGTCAATTACCTACATTTTTTCTAATGATCAAAGAGACCAAATTATAACTGAAAAGTCAGCTGGTACTAATCATGAATCATTGTACTTGTTGTGCAGTTTCGAATCCAGCGAGGAATTAGATTGCTTGACGCCTCACTGTTGTATGGTGGTTTAGTAAACGCTAGTACAATTGATTTCGCCATCCTTTATTTTTACAATGGCTAGCCAGACAAATGCCATGACTTAATATGTTACCCGATAATGGAATCTAAGTGAAACAATTTAGATCGGAAATTTTCCAAGATTTGAAAAGATGATAGTAACAATCCTTTTCCGTGGGAACTTTGGTAACCACAAAATGAGCAGTGGCCTAGCAGTTTCGACATTAAACTTAACTGTGTTAGCATCACTGATAACACATTACCCCAACACCTCACCCAGGGTACCGAATCTGAATATATTATACGGTCCTAAAAATAGTAGCCTACCGGTATCTATTTACCTATTGTAGGATAATGGTAGGTGCTTGTACAGGGCCTTGTTCTAGACGAAAGACATGAATAATCATTGTATAAAGAACGTGAAATCATTGGGTTTTATGTAATATTTTTTCACAAATGACGCACTGTTTTAATTTTATTTGTCTGGACCAACTCCATGAGCAAATATAGGTTTGATTTCTTGTTACACTTATAATAAACCCATGGCAAATATCGACTAATTGTGTGTTATTTACATTCCTGTAAGGTAGAATTTCAGTACTATTCCATTCATACTGTGTTCATCAAAATAGTGGACAGTACCACTGTCTATTAATTTATTACAACCTTTGATAGTCCCTTTTTTTAACAAAATGTCCGAAAACCTCCCGTACTTTTTGCCATATCGTTGTATTGAATTTCAATTTTTTGAGTAGTTGGGATGAATGTAATGTTTTTGTAACATGTCCTATATCGGTTTGTAGTCATATATGGTCTTGTTTTACATCTAAATGTTGTGTAAATGAAAAATCTCAGGTCTAAACCATGTAAGGTTTCCTTTCTATTGTGTAATGACATAAAGAAATTTGATATGACTATGATGACTAATTGTTAATTGTTTTTTTGTTTGTTCTAAGAGTTTGATTGTCTTCACAACTTGCCTTATTGAAAGATCTGCCAATTATTATCACATGTCCCACCTCTCCAGTTTTGCTTACCTGTTTATTTAGTAAGCTTCATTGACAGAGCTATGATTCATAGGTTTCTGTACTTTGTAACTCAATCAAATTACAAAACTTATCAGTCATCACACTCAAAACAAACTTAAAATACACAATGAGTAAGTAAGGTCATTCATCACTGAATCATCATATTATTGGTTTCCTATTGGACTATTGGTATCCAAGTAAACATGTTGGGTTCTTACCCACCTTCCAATTTTACCCATAATAGTGGTGGGGCGATAACAAGGTTGTACCTATTTTATAACTACAATATTTTCTGTCTAATAAGCTGACTTGGCGAATAAGCCGGGTCCAACAAGTGAAAACGGGAAAGGTATGTTATTGTCCCCTTTTCCGGAATTCCTAGGGGTTGTAATTTGTTGTTATAGTATTAGGCACAAACAAAAGCCAGTTAGGTATACAATATTTTCTTTCTGAAATAGGGTTCAGAAAGGCCCCGCAATAGAATTTTAATCCAAGATTTTATCCGAGAGCTAAGGGAAGATTTTATCTTTCTGATTACAAACCCCTCTGTATGCAACTGTTATTTTATATTATGATGCTGTGGTGATAGTAACCTGTAAATTTCAGTCCTGTCCTGAGTAGTTAGGATAGGTACTCCCGTAGTATGTGTACCAGGTTAGGGCTAGGCCATAATTCTATCCCAATTTTCCTTAAATTAGTTTTATTACGAGTTCGGGGACTTTCTGTGTTAGCCAAGTGAATTTCCCCCTCTGTCCATAGGTTTCAGTCCCTTTACACAGCTTGATGTAAAATGAGCGAAAAAATTAGTTACCTCCATATTGGTCCACACACTTCTGGAGTGTCGTACGATATTATAATCACATATTGTATTAAGCGTAAGCCCTATTAGGAATAAAATGAACTCATGGGCAAACCTTATTCATATATTTGTTTGTTATAGTGTAGGTCAGGGGTGTGCAACCTTTCGTCTATAGACGGCAGCAGGTTGTACATCGCTGGTGTAAGATATGATGTAATAGTTCTGATAATTTTTCTGGGTATTCCTTGAACACCCTCATGACCTGAGCATCATATGTGAGGCTAATTTGGAGAAAAGTGTAATCTCATAAATTACCACATAAAGATATTGAAATGAATTATGATTCAGTTTAATATTGCTTGCTTGTAAACAACGATTTCATGATATGTATCCTGTGGGAATGTGTGACGGATGTATTTAAAAATGTTTGAATAGATTTTTTTTGAGTTGTACGCAGAATCAGAATTTTATTGATGGCTATTTTTTCAAGTTTTTCTACTCAATGTTTAAAAAAGCAAACTTCATGTAGGGTAATCAGAAACTATTATTATGCAGTTTCATATTTACAGATACGCCTCATATTACGCCTCACCAATGAGTAAGCTATATACCTTATGCGCTATTCCAGCACACTCTCACTTAATTAATTTTTCTGTGAAACCTTTTTTTTTATATAGCTGGGAGGCAATATTGAAAATATAAGAACCACTGGTCTAGACATATTTTTGAAAATCTTTTCTCAGAGCGAGGTCAGGAGAACTCACTCAGAAATTAAAAAGATTGTAAATCCCTTATTGAAGGGACAGTCGACCACTTGTGAACCATAAAAATGTGAATTATCAATTGTCTCTATTTATCGGTGACCGTACATTTGAACCCATGTACATTTGAACCCATGCGTATATCCACGGGTTCAATCTATATGCGGGTGCTAAAACCCATGGGTTAAGGTTAGTATGGGTTCAAATATCTGTAAAACAAAAAAATTTTCCTAGGTGCAATAGTATGCAGGTGCAATTGTCAGGGGTTCAAATGTACGTGGGTTGAAATGTAATGGAACCATATTTATCAAATAAAATTGAAGTTGAAACAATTTTCTAAATCATCCAAAATCTCCTTTTCCAGCCTGCATCTTTTGACCCGCACTCTTCCTTACAATTTCATTCATCAAGCACTGAAAATCCGGGTTTGGAACAAATCTTGAACTATGACATGAGAGTTGCTCAAAATAGATTGTAAGTTTTATTAGTTAATTTAGGTTTGGATTTTCATATTTATACCTTGAATGGGAAAGATGAAGGAGATTAAAAGTTGAAATTATGGTGAACCATGACAATCATCTCGTCGCTCCCGGAATATGTGAACCAAGATGGCGGACACCAGAATGTAGTATGTGTAGGTTAGGGTCAGGCCACAATTTCAGGTACAACTACTACAGGAGCTAGTCTAGTCCCGAACTCGTAATAGAACTAAAATTGAAAAAAAATTGGAATAAAATTATGGCCTAATCCTAACCAGGTACACATACTACGCTTCTGGAGCGTCCATAAATTTATGTGGATGTTCTTGTAATGAATAAATAGCAATACTATCTATTTCTTATTGCAAAACAAACAAATGTTTGTAATTCTCAGTATCACCTTGTACTAAATAAATATTTGCTCAAAGCAAGACATTACTTTCACCTAAACCTGCATATCAGATCTTTCTAGCTGCCAATAGCAGATAAGATATTGAATTGAGAGGACAGGCATCTTTGACACCACCTAATTAGCAAAACATCGTCTTAATAAATTGTCATTCCATTAACTGGCATGTCGATAAAAGAGATCGACTATGTAAATGGTTCACAAATTGTCATGAACCATGGCCCTTCACCAAAAGACTAATTGCTCTTGTATAAAAATCCTTGCTTCATCATGTTACCATCAGAAAAGATTGAACTTTACAGAATTTTTGAATTGAATTTGACAGTTGAAATAAACAAATCAGCCAATTTACTTTATATTAATATACGGTAGTCGTCATCTTGAATGGCATGATTGAGAAATCCTGGCTCTACTTTCAGCAAATGTAACTCTTGTTTCTTTTTCAAAAAGTCCATTTTTTAATAAAGGTCTGTTACACACACTAGCTGGAATCCACGAGAATAATCAATTTTATAAAACTTCATTTTATTTAGATCTAAAATATCTAGGAAACGTATCGCGCACTTAAATATTTTGTAGCATTTTGCCAAATTAATTTGTTATTAATTTGTTATTAAATTAATGGGTTACTTAATTGAATAAGGGCATTCAAACCTCGAAGGGTGAGACAAATAAACTCTCTCATTTTCATGGATTAAGAAATTTTCTTTTTACAGATTGACGTTTCAAAGATTCTGGGCGGAAGAAAATGAATTTCGAAACGTTCGTCTTCTCGTCATGTGTGGTTTCTTCTGCCTGGGCCAAGGAGATGCTGTGGAATGTTTCTGCTGCCACGTTATTGTTGCTAACTGGTCACGAAATGACAATCCGAGGCGAAGACATTTGGAACTGACAACTATTCATTGCAGGTTGGTAGTTTGACATACAATATTTCCCATCGATTAAGCCATATCTGAAGAAGATAGACCATGATCTATCGAATGCTCATAAATAAACTTACTACTTCGTGGAAAGAGATTACCTTATCTTCATAATACTATCTCGTTCAAGCATCCTTGTGGCGACTGACACATACGGATCCGCAATAGAAAGTAAACTAGGAGAAAGGACTTGCAGTTCAGTAGACAACACCTTAGTACACCCCATATTGGTCCCAATATGGAGGTACCTAATTTTGTTTGCCTACTTAGGAACATCAATTTGTGTAAAGAGAATGAAACCTATAGGCAGGGGGATATTCACTTAGCTAACACAGACAGTCCTCAAACGAGACAGTCCCGGAACCCGAAATAGAAATAAAATAAGGAAAATCTGAATAAAAATATGGGGGGCCTAACATGGTACACATACTACAGGAGTACTTATTTTCAAACTTATAAGCCAATTCTCTGGGGGTCGCCTTGCCTTTTTTTGTTATCGGATTTGAATCTGATAATACTGGAAAAGAGGGAGTATGCTAATCAGCTTGGAAATATGGTAATTTCAAAATGGCACTTAAGACCTTAAATCTCATCTGGATGCTGTGATAACCACAATTGCTCCAACTAGATCAGAAGCGTTCAGTTCAACCTTTTATACAGGAAACCGAATAGAAAAACTGGGTGAAACTGCGGGCCGCCCGCACCCTAATATGGGCTATCCAGTACTTGCAGACACACAAGTTTTGGTTATTAATCTTGTGACATACATTGTTTGCAACTAGCTAGCTGTTATCAAGGCATTGTAAAGTCATAGGCATAGGTGAAAAATTAGATTCAGTATTCAGATATAGGCTTCGCAACGCAAATTGATTGAAATTACACATGCATACCAAATTGAAATAAAAAACACGTTTCATGGTCTGCCCATCATTCAAAATTAGCACTATTTGTTTTTCTTGCGGCCCGCATTTGGCCCATGGAGTGCTGGTTGCATACCCTTGAGAGTTAAAGCATTAGACTTAACTATACTGGCATCACAGGTGAAAATCTCTGATTTGAATCCCATGGACACCACCTCACCCATGGTGTTATCAAATAATAGTAGGCTTTAACCTAGCAAAGGTTGTTTGCTCATAGCCTTTTTGGGAGCAAAAAAGCATATAGAACTTCATATGGAAAATATTTTCATCTAATTTTTGAAACAATGTCAGAATTTTTCAGCTCAGTACTTTGTTCAAATAAATAATAGTATCATTTGTAATAGTTTAGACAAATAAACTTTACACTTTTCGTCATCTTCGAAAACCTTTTGCATATATATAATATGATGGAGATCCCTTGCAAAATTCATTGGCATTGTAGTCAGAAATCAGCTGATAGTACGGATTTCTGGTGTCCAATCCCACTGGGACAATTTATTCCCAAGAATAAAAACCTCTAGCACACATATTAAGTCCCAAAATGGAAAAATAAGACATGATGAGGAACAACATGAATCCATGTCAAACATACATAATATAAACTCTGCATTCTTTTCAATAGTTTTCAATAAAAATTTTAATTTTCAAGTGCGTTATCATAAATCGGTTTTGAAAAGGTTAAGACAAAGATAAGTCCCTCCCAAGGCGCAGATGTTTGTGTTGTTGCTGAGTAAATATTTTGTTGTTCACTTGATTAATTGGGCACTCTTGGTTTGTTTACATATTGAATTCTTTTCGTCTAATCAAACATGGAAACCTAGCAATATATATTTTCATTCAAAAAATGCAAACATGGTCTTCTGTTGGTACTCCCGAAGTATGGGAACCAAGATGGCGACCACCGGAACGTAGTATGTGTACCAGGTTAGGGTAAAAAATATCACTTGTTTAAATTAGTTGAATACACTGAGGGCATTTCGGCTTGTAATAAAAACAGAACTGACGCTACTTAATTAAGTCAACATTGTATTGTTAGCGGAGGTCGTTTATTGTGCCTCGAACAAAAGAGTGAACACTACAATAACAGAATGTTTTTTATGGTGTAAATATTACGAGGTTTTGGAATAAATCAAACCCTGTCCTATCCTATGTACCGAAACACTTTCATACCCAGTAAATCGAATTTATTACTCTGTATTGGAAGCATGTTAAAAATTTAATGTTATGCATTTTCAATTGCTTTGTCATATAAATTGCACAACATTAGGAAATAAAAGCTTGGAACCAATGTACTATATTCTCTCTCTTTTTTAGGACCTGCTCAATAGCAAGAAATCTCTCCTCTCCTACAGGCTTCAAATTAGGGGTCGGCAACATTTTTGTCGCTCGCGGGCCAAAATTAAGGGTTGCAAGTCATTGACGGGCCGCACATAATTTAAGAAAGTTGAAAACCGAACGGATGGTACTTTTATATTAAAAATCTAACAGTGATACATCTCTCGAATAGGATATAGATTTATTCCCACATTGCCTTGTATCTCAAAAAATCCCATTTGAATATTTTCGGATCCATTGATCCCTTTGCACTTAGCATCAACATTTCTGCGTTTTGTTGCCATTTGTCTTATTATAATTAAATTATATGCTCATTAAACGAGTAATTGTGAATTTTATACTTAGTCTACACGTGTCTCACAATAAATTCTGTTACGTAATGAGTATACCTTATTTGCTCATTTTGTAGCCCGGGCCCATATTTTTTTCAACCAACTCACTAACCGGGCCCTTATTCAAACCGGCCCTTATTCAAGCACTGGCGCTTCTTTTTTTCGATTGTTACAATAATTAATATATTGTTATTTTCAGTTCTCAACTATGATTTAAACGAGAATAACGAAAATTGTTTCTACGCACCGCAGGTACAAATTCGCAAAAGAAGAAAAGTTTTGCGACGCCCTATTAATATTGAAACGACGCACTTGGGCGTCGCGACGCCCAGTTTGAGAACCATAGTGTTCTGTAATCAATGCTATCTATTATGTACTTGGACGCCTAAGGCGTGAGTGTTATCTACCGGCGCTCAAAATTCAACAGCGTTGTGACAAAAGCGCTTCTTATTTCCTATTGTTCTCTACCACTGAAAAATCTTATATTTATTTTATTTATTTTTATGTTCTGTTCACACGGGCGGCTATTCAAACGGGCCCTCAATTAAGATCGGGCGGTAAAACGAGCATCTTCGGCAATCGTCAAAACAGCTGATTCGTTACTATAATTCAGTGAAGCATCGCGGGCCCGATTATAATACTGTCGGCTGTAGGTATTCCGCTGGGAGTGCTACCATTTGTTGTTCAATCTTCAGTGCAGCATTACAAAGTATATATCTCTGACTTTTAGTATCGGAATAATTCATTGTGAGGTCTTAATAATATAAGTAGTCATCAGATTTAGCACAGTACCAACATATCTTGGTTATCAATATTGTATATTGCTCTGATTTAAGCCAACCCCATAAAAACGACCCTAAAACAGTGAATTTATAAAAATTCACAAATGAGTTGAACCCAAAATCTGAACATTTCGTGGTTATTGCTGCCACAGCATAAACACTCAAGCGATCATGTGTATGACAAGTTGACAACCAATCATTTCGTACTAAGCGCTACTTTATATGTGTGCGTACACACTCTTATAGTGAGAACTTAGCATAGTTCAAGCTGTTGGAATTAAGTTAGCATAATGTCATTTTGTTTGAGTGCCATCAGAGCTATACATGTGTAAGCCAACCCCTCAGTATTGCAACTTTTTTGAGTTTTAAACTTGGCTTATACACAAGGATATGCAAGATTTCGTTTGCCACAAATTTCCGAAAAAATTTTTTTTTTGCAGATTCATTGAAGGGGAGGAATGTGGAGAGACACCTTTACCGATTGAAGTTCGAAGTCCAAGATCAACGCCTGCTCATAGCTTAGTTATACCATCATTGCAAAGGTTAGTTGAATACAATTAAGTTACACAGTTCTTGATAATGTTATATTTGAATTACTTGATGCCGTATCCCAGGGGTGGGCACAATTTTTTAGTATAAGAGCCACATGCTGCAAGTCAGAACTTTGAAAAAGCCGCAGAATTTGTGAATTTATTATTATCAAAATATCATGAACAGAAAAAAAAAAATCACACAAGAGTCTAATAACAATAAATAGATAAACAAGGCAGCTATGCTTAATTATATGCACAATTTGAGCTTAAGAAGTTTTCATGATTCGTTTCATGATGTCGTTTAAATTGCTGACTTTATTCTGAATTAGTAGCTTATGACAGATTAAGCCCAAAGGTTTATTCTCCTGACTGGTAAATATGTACGTTCTTCCCATTCTGACTTGACAACTCTGTTTTCATTTTTTGATTGAGGACATATCGCACAGTAACTTGCACCGATTATGATTTATTTGTATATGTTTCAGAAACTTTTTCATATCGTTGCGGGCCCCAGGTGCTGTCATCACTGCGGAACCAAGTTTGGGAAACCCTGTTATAATACATATAATAATCCCGATTCTTTTTCCAGCTACCAGTCGAGCCAATTCAGTCAAAGCCCCCATGGATCTCCACATCACAGTATACATAGTTTGAGCCCGGTTGCACATCCATCACTGGAAGTAGCTGGACCTGTATCTGCTCCCCCAACCCCTGCTCATGGGTCACATAGAGTCCGCAATTTTTCAAATTCTGCGTCACTGCAACCTGTCTCACCTGTCCATCCATACTCTCATGCCCCCTCCTCTTCCCGTGCACCAAATGAAGCTCGCAGATATTCAAGTTCTGCGTCACTGCAGCCTATATCCCCTGTTCATCCAAACTACCCTGTTCAAGTCCCTTCCACTTCTCGGGCACCATATGAAGCTGGCAGATATTCAAGTTTTGCATCATTGCCGGTGCAACCTGTATCACCTGTGCATCCAAACTCCCCTGCTCGTGCTCTCTCACCTGCTCATGCCCCAGTTCGAGCCCCCTCTCCTGCTCGTTCATCTTCTACAGTGAGGGAACCTTATAGTCATCCATCACCTGCTCTTGTTGAAAGATCTAACCTAATGGTAAGTGAGATAGGATTCACTATGTTTTTATTTTTGCTCTGAACAAGGCTCCTGTTCCAGAAAATACAGATATCTAACATGTGTAATGAGGAGATGCATTGTGCTAAGCGTTAGAAATACACTTGCCACCGCAACTCTGATCCCCCTGCGTGGATTCGCAATTTCAAATCCTTCACATGGATTATTATGTGCGAGAGGATTGCTGGACTCGGGCATAATCATTATTGAGGAGGCCACATTCCGAAGGTGTACAATATCCATCACCAAACTATCAGCCTATCATTACTGCAAAAAAACTGAGATTGAAATATAGGGTGTCCATAAAGTCTCAAAATTTTTTAGAATAGCAAATGAATTCATCGATACCATATATTGTTTTGGCTCTTACAGATGTATTAAATGAACTAAAAATACTTGAACAATTACTGATTAAAAAACAACAAACCTGGTTAAGTGGTTAAGATATATTGAGAACTGACTTCATGGCGAAATTGAAATTGTAAAGAGACTTCATGGACACCATGTACTTCTAATATCCTTGTCCTGTCCATATCTATATTTTTAATCATCTCATATGTGAAATAGATCCATCTTTTTATTCGTAGTTGGGATTTCCCTGCGAGAATCCGAACAACCCAAGAATGCGTGAAGAGCATGCAAGACTTCAAACATTCACAACCAACCCCAACTTCAGAAGAAATACTCGATTGAGAGCAAGTGATAGAACATTGGCTCAGGCTGGATTGTACTATTTGGGTGAAAACTTTATGAAATTTAGATAACGTGGTCTGACAAATTTTAGAACTGACTGGATGAGAAGGCACACCAGAAGTGTGCGTACCAAAATGGAGGTAACCAACTTTGTGTGCCTACTTTACATCAAGTTGTGTAAAAGGACTGAAACCTATGGGCAGGGGGTATATTTATTTATTTGGCTAAAACAGACAGTCTCCGAACTTGTAATAGAACTAAGATAAGGAAAATCAGAATCAAATTATGGCCTCTGGTCGTTGGTAATATTTTTCTGATTCTGAGAAATTGAGCCATTGTGTGCTTAATAGCATATCAAAACTTAGTATCTAAAGATGAATAGTTTGAAATAAACAACAACGTAGCTGCATTTCAACATGAACTAGAATATAATAAACTATAACTTTGTGCTACCAACATTTTCAATAAACGCATTAAACTTTTGAAGCTATATAGGTTCGTTATCTATTATTGTGTCCGTTTGCACCATCTTTGCATTTCCTACAATAAATTAAACTAACAAACTTCATCAATCTCGTTTAACAACCTGAAGAGCAACACCAAATGTTTTATTTATCTGAGGACTGTGCGATGACTCATGAAAACCAGGCAAAATTTAGCGCGCTTTAGAAAAGGACACCGATTCCTAATTAATTAAGCAAAAACAACGGAACGGTAATTAACGGCAAAAAAGTTACGAAACACAAGACACAGAGGTTATTCAGGGTCAGTCCTTAAATCACGTCCTTAACCCTTTATAAAGCACTGGTAAATATCTTCCCGGTTACTACCGTTCAACTTTGCGGAAGCTGGTTTGGTACTTTACGGCAAGTGAATAGAGATGCCCCTAGCGGATATATTGGTCAATTTACAAAAAAATATTGGTGTCGCTAGTCAAGCGTATCGCCCGCCTTTCTGCCGTTCGTTCGTCGTCTGTCGGGATATCTCGCGTGCGAGGATGCTGTTTCGTAAATTTAGCTGCGCGCATCAGTTTCGCTTTGTGCAGAAAGCTTTATGTTTAAAAATATTCCATATCATTTGGTGGTATTATAATTGACGTAAACTTTACCATTTCCATTTTACTATTTAGTGTCATGGTGGCTTGAAGTTGTTCATGTCCCCGGGAATATATTTCCCGTGGCCTGCCGAGGTTCAAATTGGCGGCGCTCAATTATTTTTCTTTTGTCCAGTTTGACCAAAATATAAGATAAAATAGATATTTTATACCATTAGTTGCAACATAGCAATTCGGGAGAATTCAAGCACACTCATGAGGGCGCGTATCGGTACATGGCTGTATTGTATAGGCTAACGTTAGTGGACGGTTAGGGTAACGTTCGGTGCTACTTTGTAAGTTAGTCTACTGAAAGGCTGCTGAAGCATATAGGATATGTGGTTTGAGAAACTTGGTAACGGTTTTCGGGGGGATCGCGGTGGTTGCAATTGATGACCAGTGATTTCCATCTTAAACTTTTAGACTATTTGTTTTCTGGGATAGGCATACTTGATTTATGATTAAATATGTTCAGCAAAAAGCTTTCTTTGTCTGAGGCGTTTACTAAAGTGATGGGAGAAAATGTAGATTTGCCTGATCATGCAAGTGATTCAGAGTTTGATGGGGACTATTTGGACGACACCGATGATGATGAGCCAGTGAATATCCGTATTTTTGCAAACCAACAAAACAATGAATTACAAACACGTAGTAAAAATAATTCACACAACCAACAGTCACCTTTTGTTGTAGGCCTAAATGAGTTTTGGCAAACTAGCAACACTTCCTCTGATGTCATAAATGAAAATAATTCCACTTCATCCAATATGTCGGATTCAAGCCATGAAATTAATGCTGTGTGCAGTGGTGGGAATGCCAACGGAAATAGCACTCGAGATGAGAGTATTTTTTCAGCTGAAGAAGAATGGTCCACCATTATCCCCAGATATTTTTCCAAGTTGCCCAACTTTTCGGAACCCAGTCCACCACAGATACAAAGTCAGTTTGATTGTAATGGGCAGCCCGGACACTTTTTTGAGCGATTTTTTGATGAAAGTGTTTTTAATATTCTGGTGAGTGAAACTAATAGGTATGCAAATCAGAAAGACATCAAGGCCTGGACACCTGTCTCAAATATAGAAATGAGAGCTTTCACAGGAATGCTTGTAGCAATGGGAGTTATGCCTCTGCATTGTATTGATCTTTATTGGTCTACAGACCCATTTTACGTTCAAACAAACGTTGTTAAAAATGTTATGACCTGCAAAAGATTCAAAAAGATTTTGGAAGCATTGCACTGCAACGATAATGACCTGGCTGTTGGTCACGGCGAGCCCGGATACGACAAATTACATAAAGTCAGGCCGTTGGTAGATATTCTCAATAACAAATTCCAAAATGAATATAAGCACTCATCATGTCAGTCTATTGACGAGTCGATGATTTTGTTTAAAGGGAGATCATCCATGAAACAATACATGCCGAAAAAACCTATCAAAAGGGGATACAAAGTGTGGGTTAGAGCTGATCCAGTTACCGGTTTCATGTCGCAATTTGAAATTTATACTGGTAAAGCCATGACTTCGGATACATCATCAAATCCTCTGGGAACAAGAGTAGTAAAAAAGCTTTGCGATGGCATCAAAATAGATACCTTTGATTCTCCACTTCTTGTGGTTTTCGACAATTTTTTTACCTCATACGAGCTCTTGCAGCAGTTGTATGAAATGAAATTGTTCTCTGTTGGCACTGTGCGCATAAATAGGAAAACATTACCGGAAGAATTTAAAAGGAAACAAAAATTAAAGAGGGGCGAACACTTATCTTCAGCAAGACGAAATGTATCTGCTATCTTGTGGCAGGATAACCGTACTGTAAGTTTGCTCTCAACTGCCCACAATCCTCATGACATTGTAGCCGTTAAGAGGACAGAGAAAGATGGTTCAAAATCACTTGTACCTTGCCCTAAAGCTGTGTATGATTACACTGCATACATGGGGGGTGTTGATAGATTTGATCAACTCCGTGAAAGTTACACAGTTTCAAGACGCTCAAAGAAATATTGGCTAAGGATGTTCTACTTTTTACTAGATGCTGCCCTTGTAAACGCTTATATAATGCATTCCATGTTTCATTCTGGTGAGGGCAAACCAATGTCTCATTTTATTTTCCAAAAACATGTTGCTCTTCATTTAATTGAAAATTTTTCGTCTAGGAAAAGGTGCGGATCAATGACAGCCTATTACATGAATAAAAAGTATACATGCAGTGGCAAACCTATGGGAGTTTTGCCAGAGACAAGATTTAGCAATGTCGGATGTCATCTGCCTGAAAATGGCGGAACATATAGAAGGTGTCGTCTTTGCTCGACAAACACTCATGATAAAAGAAGCAAAATTATGTGTTCTGCTTGCAAAATTCCACTGTGTGCCATTCCGTGCTTTGCCAAGTTTCATCAAAAGTAGGGCATTGTTAAAAAATTTTTTTAACTTTGCATGGTGGCCAAACATTGCTAAATCGCGTCTCTGGTAAAGCTACCATAAGCGTTCGTGCTGTAGCACTCCAAGTATGGTACTTTTCATGCAAAGATTTTTGTTCAATGTTGAATTTTTATCTGTTCTGTTTAGATTTTATTATTCAAATTAGCATGTGCTAAGATGTTATAGTGTTAATTTTTAAAGTTATACCGCACTTTTATATTGCTAACCTATTCGAATTTTATTTAAAAATAAAAACGTTGTTTGCGTTTGGACTTCAAGTATAAAAATATTACTATATATATTTATATAAAGTATAGAAATTTTATCTAAATCTATCAAATTGTTGCTCTATAGACGAATGTCGCTCTGTATGCTCTATATTGCCCTTCTATTTTGTTCGATGTTGACAAATACAATATTTACAGTTGTTTTCAAAATAAATTTAACGATAAATACCGACATAATTGTGTTTTGCTAACTGACCTAGTCGGGCGGTGGTAAGGATATTCCCGGTTGAGAGTGGGCCGTGGGAAATATATTCCCACCCAATTTACACCCCCATCATAAAAAAAAAATTAGGAAAAAAAAATATTTTAGGTTATCTCTCACAAAGCACGATACAAAATAGCTATTGAAATTTTTACGATTTGAGCCCATTATATTCGGCCCGATAAAGGGTTAAATCGAGAACTATTTGCAAGCCATGTTGTAAGTCCAGTACGAAATATTTGCACTCCATGTCTTGCACAAACGAGTTGAATGTATATGAAATACAACGAAAATAAAATAAAATTTTTACAATCTTAAAACAACATAAATATGGAAAATAAACGATTGACAAATGCCAGTGGTTCCCAAACCAATTCCAAGCTCGTCGCGAACCGGGCAAAATATTACTCTGTTTCATGAGAAATTGTTCATACTTATATTAAGTAGATTGAACCGGCTACTGGAATTTTAGAAGTTATAAAGAATCAATTTAATATCTCTGTGGCGCTTTATAAAAAACAAATACTTATCGGCCTGTATTGGAACAAGTCTATTTGGTTATGGAAGAAGCTTAGTGATAAAGAATTCTTCTATGAAAATTTAAAAAAAAAAATTTTCCCAGCTTGAAATTGTTTTAATTCAAATTTGTAGATCAGGATACTTCTGTTCTTGCTAAATCATTTGGTGTGAGAAAATCACTTCACCGAAATTAGTATTTATTTGTTTACTTGCGTACTTTCATTTCATTTGATGGTTTTGATTAAATTACAGGTGAGGGTGACAAATGCAAATGCTGGGTTTGTGGCGGAGGATTAAATAATTTTACGGAAGAGGACGACCCGTGGACCGAGCATGCTAAATTTTATCCTGAGTAAGTTGAATTTTTCATGCTGCAAACAAGGCTCTGGACTAGCAGCCGTCAAACATTTTCATCTTCAGCAGTGTCAAACGATTTAATATTATTGATATTAGAAATGTGGATGTCGGTCCCGAAGTATGTGAACCAAGATGGCAGATAGTGGAACGTATGTGTACCAGGTCAGGATTAGGCCATAAGTTCAGGTACAAATACCATGGGAGTCACTTGGCTAGCCCTGAACTCGTAAAAAAACTAAAATGAGGAAAATTTGAATAAAATCTTGGCCTAACCTGTACATATACTACGTTCCGGTGTCCGCCATCTTGGTTCACGTACTTCGGAGGTACCTGAGTGTCATTGCACGGTAACCAGTGTTGGTTCCCTGTGACGATCAGTACTATCGAGATAGAAAGATTGAAGCTCTTACTATATTTATAATCTAAACCTCATATTTTCTAGATTTCTTAGTTCCTTTTTATTTCTGCATAAAAGCTAAACAGTCTTCTGTTTTATCAGGTGTGAATTTCTCTTGCAACAACGGGGGCCAGGGTGGGTGACATCAATTTCAGTACAAAACCCCAACGTTCAGCGTCCGAATTTACCCGTTCGTAATCAACAAAATTTGCCCAATGTAGTTTCTTCACCCTACCCATTGCCCCCCGAACCCCATATAGATGACCCCGTTGAAATTCATCGAATGAGAGAGGAAATGTTGCAAGCAGGAATGCTGTCTGCACCGGTTCAAGCCGCCCGCGCAATGGGATTCAGTGATGAGAGAATTAAAGATAAGCAGAGAAAGTGAGCGAGCTTATTTTTTTTTACGAAATAAATGTCTTAGAGTGAAGCTCTAATCCCTAAAAATCACTCTATCATAGAGTTATGAGGGTCCAAAATGTTCCAAGCTACGAAAAATTGCTATGTGGAAGACAAAAAAACGTTTTTTTTTTTATATTTCAAAAGCGGGGTTTGGGGCCAACCCCCTTGGCTATGTATGCCCCTGGTGATAATTGTAAATGATACCCAATAAAAGTTTTTGCCTGTGCCCCCCCCAGAACAGCTTCATGGTCTTTTAAGTGGCCAAGAGCCTGGTTTCAGAAACTGAAATTAAATTAGCACCACCTAATGTGGCCAACCAGGCACTGTTGCCGAGCTATTTGAAGATGTTAACAGTCGTGTGGCGAAGTGAATGTTTCATTTGGTTAGCGTGCATCCAGATTGCTACATGCTTTAAATTGTTCTTTTTCTTGTTTTAGTATTAACAGTAATATTTAAGTTAATAGGAGCCTAGAAAGTAGAAAACGGTTTAAAATGAATTTTCCTCGAATGGTTTCACTACAGAAAGCCTATTCCAAAGACTTGAGAACAGTGTTCCATCTAAGGTGTGCGCAAGTGCGCGCGCACACAGCTTTCAGAGGCTGCGTACACGCATAGATTTACTGCGCACAGACGTATTTCGATGTAATGTAACAATGTGCTCGGTTGGCAGGTTGAGAAGTTTGTTGTTGGCCCACTTCTTACCCGGTTAGAACGTCAAAATTTCTTCATTGGTTTTTGCACAAATATTAGTCATTTCCAAAAAAGTGCGCACACACCAAAATTTCTGCGCACACATACTACAAAAAATTAGAGGGAACATTGCTTGAGAAGTATGAACAATATTATTTTGATAAACTTTTCTTTAAATCACAGACACATTGTTGAACAAGGCTGTTGTTACCAGTCTAGTGAACCACTGATTGACGCGTTGATTGGCGACCGTCAAGCCGCGGATGCTGCTGGAAGTTCAGGAGGAGCCGTTGGCGGAGGAGATAATGTGATACACATGGATGGGCAAACAATACGCTTCATTGGGCCGAGTTATATCAACGGCCAACTTCATTTACCGAACAATAACCCAAACCAATATTCAACAACAACTACATACACATCAAACCCAGATAACTTGATGATTAACGGACAATCGTTAGATGAAATCATGCATAATGCTTGTGAGTGTTGATTTTTTATCAGGTTTTATTTTTTACGCAACATCTATGCAATTTGTGCCATTCGCTCCATACAACATATTGTTAATAAGTAAGCATGGGAGTCTAATATACAAGTGAATAGTAAACTAGTGGACAACAACTAACGAATTAGTCAACAGACAAGAAGGCGATACAAATAAGATAACAGCAGCAGCGGTTGTTACAAATTTTGTTACAATGGCATACAACTTACTGCTTGCAAGCCATTTTCATCATTGCACCAACATCTTTCAAATTGTAATCTCCTTATTATATTTCAGTTGACCATCCATTCTTCCGAGGTGAGATGGATCATTTGATAAATAACGCACCAGTAGTGAATATACCTGCACCTGCTGCACCACAGCCCCATGTGGTCTTCAATAACATAGGAAGAAATATATCAGCACGTTCCAGATCTCCGCGTTCCCCTGCTCCTGCGCCAGCCGCTGCTGCGGGAAGGGCCCCAGCTAATGTGGCTAATACGACTAGAAGTGCTCCTACTAACACAACTAGAAATGCTTCTACCGCTAGTCCTGCTACATCTTCTACCGCTGCTTCTGCTACATCAACAACTTCGCAAGGAGCAACTGCAGCGACAACACCGGGATCTGCTGAAGAAAGGTGAGTCAAATTTTTATTTAATGTCTCACAACCTTGTCTTGGCAATGTCAGTAATAAGTTCTCATATTTGTAGAAAAGGGTTTTTCAATTATCTCTGTAAAGGAAAGCCGATAGGATGGTTAAATCATATGGCGAAGTGCATCTTGTCCCGTTGGATTGTTTAATCAGTTATATGTTTTAGATCGAACTATTGAAGCAGCGCACGCTTTTTAGAATTTGTCAAGTCTTGCGCCTCACCACCAAAATAATTAGCTAACAATAAGTTACAATTAACAGTAAGGCAGAGTATGTTTTATTTAAAGAACACGTTGAAAATATGTGTAGGGAAAGTAAATAATGAAAAGTTTTGAAATGTAAATATCCAAAATATGGAGGGCGAATGTAACAATTATTTTTAAGTATCTTCAACCCCACTCAAAAAATTGAGTACTCCCCCTTTGCCCCCCCCCCCAACCATCATTTGGGAAACACTGTTTTGAATACAAAAATTGGATGGTGGATGAAGCAGCCAATGGTTACATGAACCACCGTACGGCGAGGAGGGAAGCACTCATATTAAAAATGTCACATCCATAATGAAACGTCAAAAATCATTTGTAAAATGTCATGAACAGTGCCACAAATGCTATGTAGGAATCATGACAAAAATTTAACGTGACACAAATGAATGCCACAATCCATAATGAAAATGCCGCTAACCGTGACTTTATCGCCACAAACCATGACAAAAATATGAATAAAATGCCTAATGTTATAACAAGTCAAAGCCATAACTGAATATTTATTGTTTTTTTTAGGCTACAAGCGCTTGAAAGAGAGAAAAGATGTAAAATATGTTTGACAGAGGATGCTCAAATGTTGTTTCAACCTTGTGGTCACATCTGCGCTTGTTTTGGTTGCGCTGAGAGACTACAAGCATGTCCTGTGTGTAGGAGTGTGATCGAGAGAGCGATTCGAACGTATCGACCATGAAAAACCCCAAAATGAGGCTTAAAATTGAAGTCAACAGATTCGGCCAGAAGTCTTGCCAAAATTGTTTCAATTTCGAAAGAGCTGAGAGGAAAAATTATGTGGAACAGTGCTCTATGGAAAGTTTCGGAACTTGCGTTTCATAGTTTTTCATTTATATATTATTAGGTTCCATCAAGATTTACTTGAAATTATTTATTTGCATGAAGTAGTGTCTGAAACATATCGAAAAGGCCATCCAATGAATTATATGACTTTAAAAACTGTGTTGCGTACTATTGAAAATGTTCCAACAATTGAAATTTAATTAGATTCGTTTAGCGAGAGGTCAACCTTATCCAGGTACTATAACTTGTCGTCTACCGCTGCATTTTTTATCTCAATTTCCATCACTTATTTATATATATTCAATTAAGCGATAATCACTAAATTTGTCCTACTCTTAAGACTGCACCTTGGTAGACAGACAATATCTTGCGAAAAAAGCACAGTATAGTAGCATAAAGTAATATTTCTAATTATCAACTTTTTAACCTTTTTTATTCTGAAGTATCCAGTAAAATATTTATGATTTTTTTTTATTAAACTGAGGAAACTATCAAGATGTGATTAGAGAGCATTCGAATTTTACTCAAATTGATTTTCTTCTTTACTTATGTTATTTATTCATATATTACCCCAGAATCACAATGATTACTGATATTTTTGTATTTTAATGACCCTGTTGAATTAGAATTATTCGCTGTTCCGCTGTCACACGATCTTATAAATTCAATTAGATGTTTAACCTTGGGTGAATCTTAGGTGTCGTTGCTTGATAACCACCGGATTTAGTTTGCTGCAGTTTCCCTTCCCCAGTAAAATTGTTTTATTACAGACATTTTATTAATAAAAAAAGTAAATCTTTTATATTACTTCTTGCAACTCTTTTAAATTTCAATAATCCACTTCAACTAAAAGATATGTTGTTGTCACATTGAATCCTATTTACTATTGAGCAGTATGGCAACCAATTTGATAAGTGTTTTTTCATCTGCTACACTTTTCGAATTTTGAAATATTTTTAAAAATTTTTTGATTTTTTCATTTATGTTTCAATTTATTTTCTAATTTTTCTTAGCCACGCTTTAGTCCGATATTAAATTAGAAATTACTATTTTACTGAAAGATTGATTATTCTAGGAATTTAACAAATCAATTTTATTTTTTCTCAATTTTTCTTAAAAACAGACCACTGATTCCTTGTTGAATGGTGATTTGCTTTCACATATCGGGCATGTAGTTTAAGCACGAAGTACGTACCCTATGACTCCAATATAGTGCTGATAACATGCTGACCATTCAATTTATTCTCTACAGATATATCTCATTGTAGCCCTACATTCATGAAAGTATATAGTTTGAAATGAAGTAATTCATTTTTTTATCACTCCAATTTCCAGTGACGCCAATATGGTATGGATAAACACACTCAAGTCATTCACACATCTCCAAAATGTTTATTTTACACTACTGATACTAAAATTGTATTTTGACCATAAACCAGAATCCAGACCACTACCTAAAATATTCGAGTGAGAGTAGTCAAAATGAATTGAAATTGAAAGTTACAAAAATTAATGAATGGAAATCCTGTGGGTGAGGAAATTTTTTTTTTCATTCTTGGGGATTGTGTGAGCGACCACAACAATTACGGCTAGGTGGTACCACTGGTTCCCTTGATTTGTGTTATTTTTTGGCTGCTTTGATGTGGTTGACTATTAGTGTGTTACCGAAAGTTTCCATAGAATGATATTTGCGTGTGAAGTCTTATATTATGAACAATTTTTAAAAAGAGCTAGCAAGGAACTCAAATGATCTTTTTTAGTACGGCTGACACTTAACATATTCTTCATCTTGTAAAGGATAGAACTCTACTATCAAAGAAAAATTCCACCTGATCCGAGACCTCCCAAAAACCGAATTATACATTGAAATTTAGACACCAAACTCCGGTAATTGAAATGTTTTGACTCCAGCAAATCGCAGCAAACTCTGTATATCTGGTTTATCAATGTGATATATTCTTGTTTATAAATTTTCAATTTTTTCAAGTGTAAGTGTTTGTTATTTTTTGCATATGTTTCAGAGAATCTGTCTTAATTGTCATTTTTCCAATGAATAGATATATTTTTAGTCATTAACAACAAGCACATTTGGAAATGTGTTATAATTGTCATAAAAATGCATGACTCATTTCAATACTATAGAATGCCGCTGATTTCTTCCCATAATGCCTTTTTTTACTATTTTCTTCAGTTAATAGTCAAGATTACGGTAATTAAACAAGATTTTACGAGTCAGAGTGATATAATAATGTGTTTAGGTAGTTTTCAGTAGGGATTCAAGTTTTTAAAAATTTGGAATCTCTTTGTTATGTGTGATTCTGATTAAAACAAAGAAATAAAGACTTGAAAACAGGCGGGTGTCTTAACAGTTTGAGTAATGCTTTTCAAAACTTATTGGACAGAATGCATGTTTCACATGCTTGCCACCCTTGTTTTCAGTGGACCTTGTTGATCTGTTTGGAATTTTTAAGTATCAAATGTCGTCATGTTTCGGCAGAGCAGCAAAAATAAATGATTAATTAATCGAAGTGGTAATGCAACTCATTCGCTACAACGTTGTTGTTAATCTGGGAGTGTAGATAATCAATTTACGCTTGCCACAGCACTTCTGATAAATCCTGGTCGTTTACAGCTTTTTCCACTATCAAGTTCATGCATCGGAGGACAAAATAATTGGCTAACTAATCCCATATCCGACACTAACTGGCAATCGGTCGAAATCCATATGCGTTCATTGTTTTCTGCACACCGACCCCATTGTACAGACAACCACTCAGACAGATTTTGGCATGGATGTATAAACCGGTTCTACCTGATTTAATATGTATCCAAACTAAGCTATACTTCCATAACTCAGTGGTAATAATTTTGGGTCAGCTGCAATAATATTAATTACCATGATGAACTATGAAAGAAATGCCTAAAGTGAAGGATTTTATATTTAATCTGGATGAAATCTGATAAGACGATGATTCATGTGCTCCATATGGGTGGTAACTGACTCAGATGACTGTGAATGGTCGTATCGTTACCCCCGAAACTAAATTTTCTCATTTTGCTATCATATGTGCTTTCTTGTTTGACAAAAAAATGTCCTCCCTCTGTCTTTTAATCATAAAAGGAGTGACGGCGCTGGGTCCGGTTACGTAATCGAAATTGACTATTAGTATTTTTAAATTACAAGTGATTTTTATTTTGACTGAAAATCACTGTTTTGTACATGCAAACAAGTTTATGAAGGGCATATCGCAAATGGACCTTCAAAACAATGAGCATATATACAATGAGTGGAAACTTCCAAATATTTGCTCATTAATCCATTCTGACCTGCATTTTTACGTCGTCCAGCTAAATGGTTCGTTGCATATGGAGAAAGAATATCTTCCGCTGCAAAAATCCCTTGTTTCAGCTGGGCTGGGTGCGAAATTGGCCGTATTGAGGCTTTAATTTTTCCATTCGTGTTCGGTTTTGGGTTTCGAAGTATGGTACGTTGAAAGCATACTAACTAGGAGCATATGCATATTGTGAATGCATTGCATATATATTAGGCAGAAAACGTAGCTACAGAACAGAATATGAATCAGTCGCCACGTGGGGTGCGGTTATTGCTGTATTTATTCATTGATATAACATAGGACTTACAGATTTATCCAGGGAGAAAGAAAAGCCTGAATATATATGGCGAACCAGGGCCTCTCCAAATAGCTCTGTGCTCCATATGAACCCCCAGACTGCCAGTTCTTTGTAAGCTATTCGTTTACTTATTAATTAAAAATACTGATTTTAACTTTAAATTACTCTGGGATATATTGCCATTGAAATTTAAAATTTGCCGTTTTCATGTCTTGTGAATTTACAAAAAAAAAATTTTATCATAATATTTAGAGTACATTTTGTTATCAATTATGATTTTTGCATATATATTATTTAATTTTAACGATCCTTCATATAGTCATATATATAGATAGATACTGTTGATTTGGATGCAATTATATATTTGTAATTAATAGTGAGATATAGAACTTGGACAAGGGGCGCAGCCAGGATTACGGTGGTTTTAAAACAGTGCACCAAAAGTTCAATTCATGACGGCGTAAGGCGGGTAATAAGTTAAAAACAATGCGTCGTTCACAGCGAAATTCCACAGTTACGTGTAGCTCGCCTCTGACGGTTTTGGTGAATAGAGGACTTGCACGGATCACGTGACTTTGTTACTGGACGGCAATAAAACAAAAACGTCCATTTGACTCCTGTCAGTTGCAAGTCGGACTATACGTTTCCGTTTTGTTTGGCTGTTGAAAATGGTTATTTCGTATCGTTCCGTTGGCTGTACGTATAGTATAGACAACGAAATGGACCTTCAGTTATATTCCACTGATTTCAAAAGATCCGGAACGTCGCGCAATTTGGATATCATCTATTGCCTATTGGCAGAACTGCCTGGTGTCAAGTCCAGAAGCCATCTTACTTGTGCTTCACTGTTTGCGGACAGCACTTCGTTGATGGTGAGTGATAATGTGGTGATAGTGTGCCGTTATCAATTTCTTTAAATATTCACAAGCTCCCTCATTTCAATGGAAAGCAGATGACAAAATACTGTTATTAGTAGGCCTAGGCCGCCAGGCGTGGGCCTACTTGCAGTTGCAGACTTGACTTGTGTAAGACAGTATGGAATTAATAATCGATTGCTATAAGGTATTGTTTCCCTAATTAGCAGATAATCTATTACTAAGTGTGAAAGGTTGAATAGATAACTAAAGTTTAACACCAGTGGTCATGCAAAAAATAACCAGAATTCAATTGAATTCGCCATCTAGATTGTTTGTAGATTAGTCTGGTTTGTGTATTGTAACCCCAGCATTGACTGACAATAATTTTGTCTTGCGTTCGTTAACTCGAACTGTCTATCTGTCGATAGCCTTCGGCTGTAGTAATGAGACGTTTGAAAACACCTTATGAGTTTATTGCCATTCCGACAATATATACAGAAATACAATGTACACACAATTAGATCAAATCTAGTCTGATTAACACACAACACATTTCTGAATATATAGCTTTCTGCCAAGTAATTAAAATAGAATAAAGAAACAGATTTTTACATTAGCAATGAAAGAATCACGCGTAATTCCGGTTTCTGGTTAGCTTTCGGTTCACTATAATCAAACATTATTAAAAGTGTTTTCTTAAAGTTCATTACTAGCAATTAACTTGTTATTGCGAAGTCACCGTGTTCCTGGCCACGTACTTACTCCAATTATGAGATGTAAAAAAATGTTCTCAAGTGGATAATTTGGTTTTAACACGATATTTCGAATTTACGTTATTGAAATATTACTGGAAATAAATTTTATTTTTACATGGGATGTCACTGAAAGGCTATTAAATCTTGAAATTGGATTTTGAGAAATTGATAATTGCTATAACGGGAATAATTAATTCTGTTTTTCATGAGTTTCTCACGAATTGGGCCAATTTGGTGTAGTTTTGTAGTTACATAACAACTAATTGGCTACAAGCGTATTCTTAGATGGATAATTCAATTGAATTCTGGTTATTTTTTGCATTAGCACTGGCATTAAACTTTAGTTATCTATTCAACTTTTCACACTTACTAATAGATTACCTGCTAACTAGGGAAACAATACCTTATGGCAATTATTGATTAATACCTTACACGAGTCAAGTCTGCAAGTAGGCCCACGCCGGCGCGGCGGTGTGGCTCAACGGGCTAAGCGTTAGGAATACGCTTGCCACCGCACCTCTAATTACTCTGCGTGGGTTCGCAGGTTCGAATCCCATGCAGGGATGGTTATGTGCGAGAGGATTGCTGGACTCCTCGCCGTCGTTGGGTGGTTCACGTAACCGCTGGTCGGTTACGGCTTCCTCCACCACCAAGTCCATGCTTCCGAAAACAAACAATACAGTAAAACTAATCCCATACCCGACTTGGAATGGTAACCGGACGAGAGGCCGTGGTTCGTCATATGGATAAGCCGTCTTATCGGCTTTCCTCTCCCCCGGGATAAATATGTAAATCATATCCTATCCTATCCAACCAATAACAGTAGTTTGTCATATGCTTTCCATTGAAATGAGGGAGCTCAAGAATATTTAAAAAAATTGATAACGGCACATTATGACTCACCATCAACGAAGTGCTGTCCGCAAACAGTGAAACACAAGTGAGATGGCTTCTGGACTTGACACCAAGCAGTCCTGCCAATAGATGATATCCACATTGCGCGACGTTCCGGATCTTTTGAAAACAGTGGAATATAACTGAAGATCTATTTCGTTGTCTATACTATACGTACAGCCAACGGAACAATACGAAATAACCATTTTCAACAGCCAAACAAAACGGAAACTATAATCCGACTTGCAACTGACAGGAGCCAAATGGACGTTTTTGTTTTTTTTGCCGTCCAGTAAACAAAGTCACGTGACCCGTGCAAGTCCTCTATATATACAAAAACACGCTCGCGTGTAGCGCCGATTGAATGCATGAAATGTGGAACTTTTACTTAGAATTTATTGCTAATAAAGTTGATTTTTTATTGTCTTTCAATGATTATTTACATGCGTCGTGATTAGTGGTGGGCAAAATCGTATTTTTTTATATAAAATTATTCGAATATTTTAACGAATATCGGCGAAGATGTTAAAGACAACTATTAAGGAATGCATTAACAACAAAAATTAATTTTATTCTGATTTTTATCTTCTGTGTAGGATTTGTATCACAGTTACGGTCCCAATTTTGAGCGAACAATATTATCCTTACTGACCCCGAGATGGGATATTTGTGAAGCTGGTAGTTGACATTTTTATGTTTTAATTTTATATCGTTTCCGTGTTACTTTCGTATTAAATAATAATTAAGAAAACTCCGCATATTGTTGAGTATTCACGTAACTCAGCTTTGGTTTCAAACACTGATACTTAACACGTGAATAAATCAGCAATAATGGCTTTTCTACGTGATCAAAATATTATTTCTCCACAATGTCTCGGGACATTTACATAGAATACCCTATTCATATGCCTTGCTTATCTGATTCAACGTTTTTAAAATTTACAAAAACGATGTTAACGCGATTTACGCAAAATTAGAAATTGAAAAATATGATGGCGCAAAAATGGAACAAAACAAAAAATTCTCACATTCATCGTTTTGCCTGTTGGCGATAGTCGTTGGTAAATTTTACGTAACTCGTTGTAAATTTATGTTAATAAATTCTATTTTGCTTTTAAAGCGCCCTGTATTTGTATTAAAATAAAAGAGAATGTCCTTAAATTAGCTTATAACCCTTCTTTCATTTTGAACGTCCTAAACGACGGTTACATGCGCGTTACTGAATAACAATCACGCATTCTTATTTATCATTATTAGCGCCAACTAAAAAAGATAACATGTCGTAAAGATAAAAAAAAAGCCTGACGTTTTAATTGCGCTGCAGTGATAATACACAGAATAATATCGTTTTGACGAAACCATAATGCGCGACCGTAAAACGACGACGGTGCTGCTTTATTGTGGAAATAGTTTCGCATGAAAAAGTTTCTCAAACGGAATGCGACCCATGTAAAGGGTGACGTGGGGGCATTGTATTCATTGATATAGAATGGGGTTGACATATTTACCCAGGTGGAGAGGAAAGCTGATTCCCTGCTATTCTTCGAATTTTTGTCTTCGTTTTTAATGTCAAGATATCCCAGACTGACAGAGTAATTTAAAATAGGGGAGCCCTGGGGATTCGTATGTAGCACCTTATAAACTATGATTGTGAGAAGCCGTGGTTCGCCATACATTTAGGCCTTCTTATCGCCATTGCTTTCCCCTGGATAAATATGTACCTTTCAACGTACCATACTCCGAAACCCAAAACAGAACACGAATCGAAAAATTACAAGCCTCAATACGGCCAATTTCGCGGCCGAAGCAAAGGATTTTTGCAGCGAGCGATATGCTTTCTCCATATGCGACGAACCATTTAGCTGGACGACGTAAAAAATGCAGGGCACAATGGATTAATGAGCAAATATTTGAAAGTTTCCACTCATTGTATATATGCTCATTGTTCAAAATAAGCATCGGCAATTTTGCGATGGAAAAGTTTAGAAAAATTTAATATACTGTATTATTATTATAACACACGAAATAGAAAAAACAATGAATAGACTTTAACACACATCTAATTAAATTTGTAAGGTAGAATTAAATTTTTAGGAAACTATCATCTCTTGTGTATATGGATTTGGCAGCTGAACTACCAACAAGACCGAGGTTATATGAGATGAACCCACGTAACTCGAGGGTATTCCCCGAATGATCGGGTAAACAAGTTCAGAAATGCTGAAGGGCGTAAATTGGTAAAGGTAGGATAGGATAGGATTTACATATTTATGTAAATTCCTAACGCTTAGCCCGTTGAGCCACACCGCCGCGGTATCCTGCTAACAATGTTATTCAATTAGAGAAGGGGTCTCAAACTCAATATACTTGGGGGCCGCTGGGGCAGAGTCTCAAATGAGTCCGGGCCGCATCAGGTTTTCCACAATAAAAGCTGAGCAATTAGTTTAAATTGTATTCCTCGTGCACTGCAACTTTAATTGTGCAGATAAAACATGTTGGGATGCTCCCACGCCCAACAAAGAAATATTGCATTTCCCAGTTTTTTGAAAATGTCTGTTTACTGAAACTTCAGTTCCAACGACACGTTTAGAGATGTGCAATATTATAAAATTCTATCTTGTAATAACTGTTGCGCTGATGTTTCAATCAAGCATTTAGCCGATGGACAGTGATGTTTTGCCACATGAGAAACATGGTTACAATGTATCAAGATAAATCTAAGCGTTAGTGATTGTGACGTCAAATATCATGGAACACTGTTTTTAAATTGTTTCAGGCGGTCCCGCGATCGAATATCAGGCCTACAGGTATGGTACTGTTAGGTTACCGCACCGCATATTCCTTCCAGGGAATAGATGATAAAATATTTTGTTTTGCCCTACGTGAGAGTTTCCCTTTTTAGACCACAGAACATTTACAGTTTTTATATCTCCTCGCGGAACACCAAAAAATGAAAGGGTTATATTGATAAAGAAAAACGGTGCAATGTAGCGGTTCCCAATGGTTTTGCCGTGGCGAGTTGCAAATGCGCGAAAAACTTTCAGAATTTCAAAGTAAAACCAGGTAGAGATGGAGGAAGAACGGTCACCTTTTGCATTTATTCTTCAGATTTACTTGTTTGTCTTTAACAATACCAAAAGTTAACAGTCAAAAAGCTAAACCAACGGTTAACGAAAATGCCACTACCCTAACTTAGTTAGTCCACTTTAGGCCCACAGTGACGCAATTTTAAACGGTCAGTTGGGTAACAACTTCATGATACTCAGATCGCCATGGCGACCAATTTAGATGCATTTTTTATTCCAATTTCATTTTTTCAACAATCGGGAGATGCTCGCGGAACACAGTTTGGAAAACGCTGTTACATTAAAAGCAATAATCATGCCAACTGAGCTAAGTGACTTGCGGGCCGCACTAACATTAAACTTTAATACCAAGGCGGGGGCCACAAACCATCATCTCAGCGAGTTTGAGACCCCTGAATTAGAGTGTTGAAGACTGGTCATTGAGAGGCGCGAAAATAGCATTAGCATTACGAGACCAATTTGTCGCGTGCCGAACCAGAGTCGCTGATCTTGTTACAATGGCTAGGGTACGGTACCGTATGTTCTGTACAGGTACAGTACAGTATGGAAATAGCCTAGTTACGGTACCTCTGTAAGGTAAGGATAAGATAAGTGGGACACGATATGAGAGTTGCAATATCCAAAACAGAATCCAAGGTAAGAGAACCAGTGGGAGCCAAGCAGGCGCCATCTCATTGAACTGTTTTAATGTCATTCAATAGATGGAATGCTTGATATACTGCGTTGCTATTTGCTTTCATTTCTTCAGTGGACCGCGAGTCATCGGAAAAAATGAAAGGGGGCCGTTATGCATCATTTTTCAAAAAGTTACTGTCTTGTAAAAGAGGAGTTTCCGAGTTTATATTTACCTGCACAATTGAAATCCCAGAACTGTGAGGTATTGAATGAAAATAGACCTGGTTATCATATCTAAGATCTAAAGTGTATTGTTGTTTATATTTATAATCTCTATTCATTACCTTTATGCTGATTGCGAAGTAAATTAACAATGCATTGTGAAACCAGTGCTATGGTTCTTAACCTTTGCGAACCTGCCGAACCCATATGCTATTCTTCAAGCTTCCGTCGAACCCAAACTATTTAAACATTTGAAGTTAATTTTGTACAAGGTTATAGAAATGCAAACCATTAATAGCCTAAGCATCAGACCAAGTATGGGGTTCGTTTGAACACAGGTTGAGAAACACAGTATTTGTGGGACATAAAAACTTGAAATTGGTTTAACTAGATTCTGTCTCTGTTATACTGTTCAATTATGCAGATAGTGTTAGATTTTGGAGGCAAATAAACGTAGATATATAGATTTGTATTTCACGATGATTCAAAGTTCTGATTTTGCCTCATTGGATAATACTATTTCACCAACCGTACAATCATCATTGACAGTTCCACCGCAATCCATCGTTCTGCAACCACAAATGCAACCAGCTTCCTGTGCAAATCCAAGAGAAAAATACAAAAATGTTTTATTCAACCTAGGAATTACTGAAGTCATCTTGGGGTCGTTGTCTGTCATTTTATGTATTGCAACATTGGTAATTGCTCGAACTAAAACAACATATCGGGATTATGACTTTGATGACGAGCGTTCATATTATTGGAGAATCCGTTATGACCTGAATGATCTCGGACAAGGAATATGGTGTGGAGCTGCTATAATAGCACCTGGTGTACTCGGAATAAAAGCTCGAAAGCATTCATCCGTTTGCATGTACGTTGCTAATATGGTTGTTGCCATTGTTGCTTCTTTTTTTATGGCAACTTTATGTATAATATCTAGTATTTGTGCTGGAATTGTGGAACCTAAAGAATTTGCTGTTGGTTATATTGTTTTACACAGCATTATAGCAGTGATTGGATTTATAGGAATGGTAATATGTATTGTACATTCATCATTCTGTTGTGCTGGTGTTTGTTGCATAAAGAAACCTTACCAAGGTGTTGTGATGTACACTTCACAGCCAGCGTATTCCCAGCCACAAATGGTTCAACTTGCAAATGGTCAGTATATGATGGTTTCAGTCAATGTTCCCCAGAACTACCCAGCACTGCAGATGCCTGGACCTTCTTATTATAATGCTAACCAAATGCCTCAACAAACTGAAGGGGTTTCGCTCTACCCACCGACCCAACCAATGACAAAAGAGCAAGAGGCACAGCTTAACCCACCAGAATACACTGCTCATTCGTCGCAAAATCCTCCATTGCTAAATTGACAGGTTGTGGTGTAAATATTACTTTTTCGAATCCAACACATATCACACAATTATAATCATGAACTACGGTATTTATTCAATCATTCATGTTTATATTTTGTTCCATTTCAAAGTAAAATATTTATAATATATTTGTTTCTTATTTTTGTTTATTGAGCATGAGCACCAATCTTAGCTATATAGCAACCTGAGGTGTACTCTGTTCTGACTGTCCAAGAGTCTATAATAGTGGTTCCCAAGCAGCGGGCCAATTACAGTCTGTGAAAGATTTAATATGGCCTGCCGAACTTGAGTGAAATAACTGTAACAATTACGTTTTTTTCTGCAATCTGGATAGCTCCGATTGTTAATAAAGCATGTGTATATTCGTAACACTTTAATATCGGCACGTTGCACACTCCTTTTTTCTTCAACAATTCAAATATACCGGTATCCTAATTGTATGTACCGGTATCAGCCCCTTGCGGGCGCTCCGCTCAAATTCTGGCTAATCTAATTTTACTTCTGGGACCACTGTGCTAAACAATACAATCTGAACAATCCGACCTTGAAAATCTCTCTTTGCCTGCTAATTATACCTTTCATTTACGGTATATGATAAATGGTAAGAACTACAAGCACAATAAGATCCATTGATAAACAATGACAAAGAATTTTTAATTGTTACCACAACAAACTCGGGCGAGAATTTTTGGACACCCTGTATAGTAGACATGGGCAAAGTACGGCCCGCGGGCCAAATATGGCCCACTGGGTAATTCAATCTGGCCTGCCTGATGCTGCCACAACCAAACTGAAACAAATTTTTGATTTTTTAGTTAAAAATAGCTCAAGGAATTTGTTGAGATTGCGATTAAATTTAGTTTTGGCATGAGGTTTATTGTTTTCCACTGTTGCTTTTGTAAACATTGTACATAAAATGTAACTCTTTACGGCATGCTTACATGGCCTGACAGTCTAGATTGGCAAAATTTTTGTCCCCTGATCCAAAAACCGTGCCCACCCCTGCTGTATAGTGTATATTTCCTCGCACAATTATTTGTTATTATTGCTCAATTTTTAATAATACTGTTTGCTAACGTTGTAATTGCTTAGCGGCATTATTCTCGACTGTGTTGACTGCACATCTTATTTAAAATTGAATGCCCCCAGGCTCACCCAAACTTGAGAAATAAATTTTAATTTTTTTATATCGACGTGTTATATTCTTACACGTCCAAATCAATTCTTTATTTAGGTTAAAATCCTATTTTCATTAATGTTACAAATACCATTTTACCCCCTGTGCGGAGGAGGCCAGCGTTACTGGCATAAAAATGCATGAAAAAAATTTGTTGGCAAGATTCAAAAAATGATAGCGCCTTAAATACTGTTACATATCAGTGGCTGCTTGTTTTGATCCTTGGTCAGAAGTCGAGAATATTCATTGTATAACAAATTGGAGTTAATTTTTGTGTCGTTTGAATTTGCCTAACTTTTGTAAACTTTGATAAATTATCACGATTCAAATATTAAAAAAATATTATAGTGTTGTCACCCTAAATCTTTAACTGTATATTTATTTATCAATATTACAGAGTCAAGTTACATCAGCGTCTCGCTGTGATTTATAGCTATTGTTTATCAGTAAAAGGTACAGAACATGGCTGATTTTAAAAAATCTGCAAAGATTACCCACTCTTTGAATGTACTATCATCATTCAATGAACTAAAACAATCTGACTGCATTTGTAACTTCACAATCAAAGTTGGTGACAAATCTTTCAAAGTCCATCGAGACTTGCTTGCCGCAGTATCAAAGTACTTCAAAGGCATGTTTTCAAGCAACATGGTTGAGGCTCGGAATGGTTTTGTCGTTATGAAAGACATTTGTGCTGATGCTGTAGGGCAGTGTGTAGATTTCATGTATACTGGTGAAGCAAATCCATCCATGGAATCTGTTGAAAATACTTTGTATGCTTCCCACTTAATGCAGCTTGATGTATTATCAAGTATATGCTTTAATTTCATGGAAAATGATCTGTCAGTGCAGCATTGCCTTCTAGTGGTTAGGTTGGCAAGGCTTTATAATCGTACAGAGCTACAAACCATTGCTGAGCAATTCATTGTGGATAATTTTCAGTCTCTAATTTTGGGTGAAGATTTTTTACATTTTAGCAATGAAGAACTCATATTCTATCTGCAAAAGTTGGATAAAAAGCATGAAGTAGTTTGGCATGCTGTCAAAAGATGGATTTCAAACAAAGGTGAAAAGATTGGATTAGAATTAATGGAGACTTGTCATTTTGGAGAGTTTCCTTATAAATTTTTGCTCACTGATCTGCTAAATGATTCTTTGGTAGAAAGTTCTTCAGAAGCAAAAAGTTTTGTCATCAAAAAATTGCTTTTCAATATTGATGGGTTGAAAGAGAATTTGTCTCTCGACACTTTATTCATTTTAAGAAAGATTAATCTGTTCAAAAACAAAGTTTGCTCAGAGAATGTGAGAAATATAATCAATGAATTTATGGCTCAAAATTTTGAGCAGATTGTACCGATGGATGAATTTATTGAGTTGGAAAAAAATGAAATTTTTTTCTTGTTCAAATCTCAGGAAACAAAATATTTCCCAGAGAAAATTAAATGGGAAGCTGCACTGAAATGGGCCAAACAAAGTCGTCGTCATCAGAAAGTTTTTCCAGACTTGTTCGAGTTGATGAAACTTGAGGAATTTTCTGATGATTTTATTAAACAAACAGTCAGGAATGAACCTTTGGTTAAAGAGTCGCATAAGTGTAAAGATTTATTGCTTGATGCTTATTCCAGAGCTCGGACTGGGAAACTCGGACTTGTCCCACATATTGCTGTCTCAACAAAGACTGGTATAAAGGCTCTGAATCTCCAAACAAATCAATGGTCTAGTTTGCAGTCAGATTATAATGTTGGCATTACCTTGTCAATGGTCAGAGACGATTGTATGCTTCAGATGGGAATGAATTGTCTTTGCTACAAGATGATCGATGGATTAAGAAGGCCAAGGTTGAAAGGAAGAGTACGATAAGATACGATAAGATGGTTTATCTCAAGGGTGGGATTTATATTATCAGCTGTGATGAGCATACAGTGCGATATGACATTGCCAAAAACAGATGGGGTAAGAATTTGCCTTCATGTGGTCATGGTGATGGTTTTTGTGTTGCTGCCTCTGATGAGTTCATATATGCCATGGGGGGTTTGTTAACAGGGAGAGAAGCAAATATATATGATCCTGGAACAAAGAAATGGTCTTCCTTGCCACAGATGATTTATGGAACCCGATGTGGTGCAGCAGTTGTTTTTCAAAGTATGGTTTATGTACTTGGCGGTTTAAAGTTCCCGAGCCTTTGCAGCCTTGTTCAATGTTATAACCCTGTTGTTCGCTCTTGGACAGAAATTGCAAAAATGAAGATGAATAGAGGTTTGTTCAGTGCATGTGTTGTTGATAATAAAATGTTTGCAGTCGGTGGTGCTCAAGGCCTGACTGAGGATTCTATTGAAACATTCAATGAAGAAACTGGTGAATGGAAAATAGTCTGTGAAATGGATCGGCCTGAGGTGGACTGGGTTTATTGCTGTTGCTTTACTCAATAAATGAGTAATCAGTGATAAAATTTGATGATGAAGTATGCTTTAAATGGGCTTGTATATACTGACTGTATCAACTCACCTATTGAATCATATCAATAAAATACTCACAACATGCCAAAACTTGACTCTATCTTCACAGCCCATGACCAAAGAATGAAATATCTTTCTAATCAAGATTTGGTCTTTGTACTTACCGGTATATATATTTGTTTCATTATTTTAAATGTTCTGAATATAAATTCTACTCAATCATTGTTAAAGTCAGATTTCATGAAAATTCTGATTGCTTTAAAACAACTGAATTTTTTTGTTTGTAAAAATTGTGTGATTGTTTGATTTTTGACATCGTTATTCCAAGCATCTATAGTTTTTGTTCGATTGTGCAATTTTAATCACCTTAATGTTCCGAATATTTCAATTCAATTGGATGAATATCTAATGAATATGCACATATTAATTATTAATTTCTCAGAGATATAAATTAAAATACCTAGGTTGCCATTAATCTGTCCACAAAGACAGAACTGGTTGAAGTCTTGTGTATTGAAGAACAGTTGACAATCCAGTGACGCAAACTCAAGTTTGTTTAAAACGATTGCTCGGAACCCTAATTCTGAATATGCGAGGGTTGCATATGATGCACCTGGACAATCTACAATAAATTTCAACTCACTCACCAGTTAAATACATAAGCCTAGTAATCAACTTTTTCAACCCATGTGAAGCCATAGACAGTACACAAATATTGTGTATGAACTTGTAGCATTGAAGGTATACTTCACAGCCTGCATATCCTGACTTGAAAATGGTCAATATATAATGTTACCGAGTTATGCAGAATTCCTGTTGCACAGAAAGCTGTAATTGTTCCCCCAGGAAAAGTATTTCCTTCCTAGCCACCCTACCATTATACACCAACACCCACCGGGAGAGACAGGCTTCATAATCACGATGTCTCAACATGTCCTCCGATCCACAAACCCAACTGCAAACCCTAAAGCAGGGGTGTGCAACCTTTATTACAGGAAGGCCACATACAAATAACTGGACGAAACCGCGGTTGCACATTTTTTTAACATAGGCTTCCTAGTAGCTGCAGCACAAATATTTTGGTTATCGACATTATGACACTGCACAAGCTAGCTGTTAGGACATTGTAACCTCATATGCATAGATAATAAATTGGACTCAGGCAACGCAAAAGGAATTAGAATTACTCACACATACCATATCAAACTAAATTAAAAAATTATATCAAGCGCCGCACATCATTCAAAGTTGGCACTTTACCGCGGGCCACACAATTTTCCTTGTGAGCTGCACTTGGCACACTCCAGCCTAAAGCAACAACCTTGCATTTTTTTAGTTTGAAACCGAGATATTTATAGTTGCATAATAACTAGCTTTTAATGGCCCATCAGATTTTGGTTTTAATATTCAGAGTTTTTAATTTTCATATTTATTTTTAATTTACAGTATCCGAAATTATAGAAATATACCTGGCGGTGTGCAAACAGACAAAATATTTTTTTGTGATTTGTTACTTGTATGAGATTGTTAAAATAGATCGGTTGTGGGTATTCCTGTAGTGTGTGTACCAGGTTATGGCATAACCATTTTCCTTATTCTAGTTATATTACGTGTTAGAGGACTGTGTGTGTTAGCCAAGTGGATATACCCCATGCCCATAGGTTTTAGGCCCTTTTTTTACATAACTTGATGTAACGTAGGCATACCAAATTAGATATCTCCATACTGGTACACATACTTCAGGAGTGCCCATTTGTGTATGTAATATTGTACAGCACTTTTGTGTGGTGGTCATAATCACTTCCTACCCAATTTATTATATCTTGGATGAATATTATTGCTCTGTAGTAGTCTTACTCTTTCTCTTTTATATAACTGGATTTGTTATTATAGTAGCTTTCAATCACTATTTATTATATTTATTTATGAGTTGCCAATAAAAAACTTTGAACTTTTTGTATGCAATTCCAAATGTTCATTTTTTCTTGACATATTGTAGGGCTGTATTGAATAGGCTTCCATATTTAAGTTGTTAAGTCTTGGAGAATTAACATGTCAAACTCCTGACAACTATCTACAAGCGGCCCTGTGAAGTTTGGAAATTCGACTCGACAGTCCTGTTTCATATGTATAGATATATTGGCATGCATACTGCAATTAGCTTTTATTGCAATCATATCGCTTTGTTATGTCATGTTTACCTTTAGAAGTTCCATGATCTATTCTCTGCAATTTTTTTCACTGACTTCAATTAAAAAAGATTCATGAAAAAAAGTAATTGTACAAAACCAATATGGCATATTGCTATTTCAAATGTTGTAGGGGATTAGCGTGTGCTAAGAAACATATAAGAGGTAGTAGACTTGTTCCACTCTTGTTTTTGTAGACTTGTCTGAAATAATATTGGGAATTTTTAGTACTGTACACGATCAAGCCGTAGCCATAGGGACAACCCAGGATAAGTATAAAAGAAATAATTATTTTATGCATCAATGCTAGATTGAACTGAAATTACAACTTGTTTCGAGGGCCGCATACCATTCACATTGGGAATATTTCCCCGGGCGGACCATTTTTTTCTTGTGGGTCACACCCCTGCTATAGATGAAAAATAACAAGCTCGCGAAAAAACTACGGACGTGTGCGACTGAATTGAAATTGCTAATTGTCAAAATCGTTATCAAAAAGAATCAGAACCATAACTTCCTATTATAAGACGCCTAATTGCGCGTCATCCACTCCGAACAAGGCCCTGAACAAGCACCACTGATTTGTAAGGATTTGAAGAATTTGGGTGACAGTATTTCAAATAGAATAGATAAGTCGTTTTGAAGTCCGCCATGGTACAGAAACGGTGACACATAGGACTGAAATTCATGGGAATTGAGCAAAACTTTACTTTGATTTAAAAACACCAGACATAAAAGTACTACATGAGAAATCTCACCTTGTGATATTTAATATAAGCAAAATCACGATTAGATACTCAGGTATCGAGTTTTAAGTTTGTGCTCATTGCGATAGTATACAAATACAATGAAAAATTACAATGACATATAAGCACTCACTAATCGGACTTTAAGCTTGTGAGCATTGTTAAAATATACGCCTATGTTATGCACTCAGAGCAAAGGAAATGCAAATAATTAGGTAACAATGACGGACATATATTACCCTTTTTGACTATTTTAGCCCAATTACAGCGAAATTAAACTTTTAGCTGATTCATCACAAAAATTTCTTATACAAGAATCAAGACTGACTAAACTTGATCAAATATGTTTAGCTGAAATTTTGTAAATCAAGTGTAATATGAGAACTAAATCACTTTGTAAATTGTAATACTTGTGAACCTACCGTGTCCCCCAATGACGTCTAAACAGTGAATTACTTGTCACGCAACCGTAAGCATGGTTCACTGCCACACAATAGGATCAAAGAATTTTTCTCTAGATCTATTCCGCAATTTGATGTTCTTTATGTTCAGACGTTTTGTCGATAAGAATAGTTGCCGTATCAAAGGATGAGGTTTTTATGTAGCAATGTTGAGGGAAGTCGATAAGGCGGCTTATTCCAACTATACCCAACCAAGGAGGATTTTTTTTGGTGAGAAATTTTGCGTAGTATTTGCTGTAGATCAACAATTAATATTTGTTATTATTATCGTTAATATACGAACTGACATCCAAGTCGTGCGAAGCTATTTCTCTAGATCAGCGGTTCCCAAACTATTGGTCGCGAGTCACGGAATTCTATGAGATCAGCGAACCTGTTAACCAGCGAACAGCATTAATCAGTTTATTTACTAAAAAATATGACTTCTGTGATGGTACCGGCTGACAAAAAATTGAATCCCACCACCGCATACGCCCAGTCATGAACTTCCTCAACCCATGTGAAGCCAAAGTTACTACACAAATATTTTGTATGAACTTGACCGGTGAAGTTTTACTTCACAGATTGTATATTCTCGACTTGCAAATGGTCAATATATGATGTTACCGAGTTATGCAGAATTACTGTTGCACAGAAAGCTGTAATTGTTCCAAAAGGAATCTTGGTTGGTCGTGAAAAGATGTAGAAAGCTTTGATTGAATATACTGGTTATTAGGATCGGTGGCGGCTCGAATATGTAAATCTTCAAAAAAACAAAAGAAATTAAATAGAATTTAAATTCTAATCTGTGAAAGTTTCCTTCTTACGATCTTCTCAAAGGAACAAAAATTTGTTACACGAAGAATGACCATGTGGCTTTTTTACGCATAGCAGTTTTGTACACTGCTTCCTATCGTGTTTCCCCGAAATTTAGACAGGATTTAGATTTATTTTCTTTTGAAGAATAACACTATATTTTTTTTGGAAGAGGTCTTTTGTGTTCATTTATTAAAAATAAAATTACATCGTTTTTATTTGTATTTCCTATACAAAAATCAAGTGACAAATATCATAATTGTGATTGTGAAATCACACAATCTTGAATAGTGGTGTGATCTTCACCTTACCTCAGGTTATTGAACCTTTCCTGTCCCACACATTTTAAATTTATTTTAAGTTTAGGGTTTAATTAAAATCATTTTCAAAATCAAATTAGGTCTTATTTTCAGGCCAGGTCCTATTTTAGAGCAAACACGGTAGTTTTGCGATGATTAGCCCTTGCTGTGTTCTGTGGTATGTCATACAAAGTTAAATGGGTCGCCATAAGCTGTGGTAATAAATAGTAGGTCCCAACTCTAAAAAGTTTGGGAACCACTGGTCTAGATTACTCGACGACTAGAGAGATTGCTGCCGTTAGTGAGTTTCTTATTGTCGCGATCATAGGTATAGTTTGGCAAGCTCTATGACGTGATTGTGATGTCGTAGTGACATAATTTTTGGATGGGGTAGTCAGGGGGGGTTAGGATAGAGATGTACAAAAATCGTTATGCTACGCAACTAGACAGACTTGTGGTACGAAACTACACCAGACTCGTATAAGGTCCTTGAGCTGTTTTTTTGTATTTATTTATATATATTTTATTATCCGTATATGATCGCGCATAGGCCGAGTTTAAAACTCAAAAAAAAAGTTGCCCAACTAAGGGACAGTCTTATGCGCGCATAACTCAGATAGCACCAAAAAATCGACTCCTTCGCGCATCGAGACTTTGATCACGCAACGAAATGATATAATGCTGACTTGCCGGTAATTGCAACAGCTACAGACCATGCTTAATTCTCACGATAAAGAGCGTGCACGCACACACCACACACGCGATCGCTTGTCTAGGTGTGATTGTCTGATCATTAACGTGACCGCTTGTATTTGATTAAATTTAATTGTATCTTTTGCATAAGAGCAACAGCATTGGTCTACCAGCCGTCTCGTGGTCAAAACGTTATCATTTGTGCACAAGTAAGATTCAGATAGAAGTTTCAGGTAGAATAATACTCACAGCATTAATTCTTAACAATAAAACTGTAATTTCAATCATTTTGAACAACCATTTACGGTAACTGAAGAATTGAAATAACATATGAATATGATGTGATAAATACTGTGCTGTACGTCCATGGGTTAGGCAACAGCTGTGTTTTCGGTTTTTTCCTGAATCAGCAAAACGGAAGGGTCATAAATCAATCACTTTATTTCGTGGTAGCCGTTTTCTTTCTGAAGTGCCGTTATCGGGCAGGGAGTGCTTCATTGCACCGGCCACGTTTTTGATTAAAACAAATAACAGCTGGTATACAAAGTCAATTAAATAATCGGCAGACACTTTGGCATACATGATAAAATATATCAGCCCATATATGACGCTCACACAAATTATGTTTGAGAAGACTTGCGAAAAATAACCAAATTTATTGCCGTGTCCGCTCAGGATATCTCGACTACCTTAATATAAAATAATGATTGTAAAATATTTTCAATCAAAAATGTCCTCACGTTATACGTTTGGTACTTCAAGTCGGCACTGATTTGATTCCTTTCATGTTGGCAGTAATTTAGTTGTGCCGCAAAGTGCTGTCTTCCATTCGATAAAACCGAAATATAATCCGAAAATTGTTTTAATCAAATGTGGACAGCGGGCCGCTAGAATGTGTGTGCCATATACAAGAAGGTAGCAATCGCGATATTTTAATATTAAATTTGAATTGAACATCATTGACTGTATAATGCGTGCAGCGTGTTTACGATTTGTGAAACGGCGTATATGCGAATTTTTATAAATTCACTATTTCGAAGCTGTTATTAGGGAGTCGGCTTATCCGCGTGATAGGCGTATATTCGAGAAAATACGGTAATATATTTACTCTTAACATAATTAAACAATCTAGTTTAATTATCAATCTACAGTAAAGCCCCTATTATCAGTAAAATCTTGAAGCAATTCAGAAATGGCTGATTTTGAAAAATCTGCTAAGTTACCCACTCATTGAATGTACTTACATCATTCAATGAACTAAAACAATCTGACTGCATTTGTAACTTCACAATCAAAGTTGGTGACAAATCTTTCAAAGTCATCGAGACCTGCTTGCCGCAGTATCAAAATTACTTTAAAGGCATGTTCTCATGTAACATGGTTGAGGCTCGTAATGGTTATGTCATTATGAAAAACATCTGTGCTGATGCTGTAGGGCAGTGTGTAGATTTCATGTATACTGGTCAAGCAAATCCATCCATGGAATCTGTTGAGAATACTTTGTATGCTTTTCATTTAATGCAGCTTGATGTATTATCAAGTATATGCTTTAATTTCATGAAAAATAATCTGTCAGTGCAGCATTGCCTCCTAGTGGCCAGGTTGGCAAAGCTTTATGATCGCACAGTGCTAGAAACCATTGCTGATCAATTCATTTTAAATAATTTTGAGTCTCTGATTTTGGGTGAAAATTTTTTACATCTGAGCAAAGAAGAACTTGTATTTTATCTGCAAACGTTGGAAAAAAAGCATGAAGTAGTTTGGCAAGCTGTGGGAAGATAAAATGCGTACCTAATCTAACACTTTCATTGTAAGCACAGCGTGCCCAAGACTTGGGTTATTTGGAACATATTCTAGAACTGGAGAAGGCAAAGTCTTTTTCAAGGGCCGCGCTGAAAAAAGAAATTGACTGTGCACCACCACTGTGTAGAGTTTTGTTGAGAGAGAATATATTTTTAGAAGATGTCCGCCAATAAGAAAAAGAAGAAAGAAGTGAATGAAGAGAGAAAAAATATTGTGTTAGGGGACTCACGCATTTAGGTAAAATATTATATTTCGAAAAATATTATCAATAATTAAAATTTGTAAATTTCGGACAAAACTGGAGTGTAGTTGAATTTAAACATGTATCAACTAAATTCAATTAACTAATTTGTTGCAAATGAAATATGGAATTAGTTTTTTATTCATTGAAATGTACTATGTGAAAAATTCAACTAACAATTGCTGCCCAAAAATATTGTTCCATACATCAAATGATTTATCAATACCTGGAATTTTTGCATTAGGGGGAAACTGATCCATCGTTTAAATATAACATACTTAACAAATAATTTCAAATTAATATTTATGGCTTACAATTAAATTTTTTCATGTAGAATACGATTCAGGTACGCATTACTGACTTAAAATAAGTAATTGTATGTTTTGTGGAATTGCAAAAACCGATTTTTTCAAGTGTTTTTTTTTTCTAGTTTTGGTGGAAAACAGACTTAATTGAATCTTAGCACTACAGCAAATAATTCAAAATGAATATTCCAGGGAATTTATAAATTTCAAGAAATTTATTGGAAATGACATAAATTTTTAGAAGTAGTCCGCAACTAAGACGAAGTAGAAAGAAGAGGAAAAAGGAAGATGGAAGAAAGAAGAGGGAGATAGAAGATTGTGTTTTGGAACTCACGCAATTAGGTAAGATATTATACTTCGAGAAATATTATCAATAATCAGAATTTGTAAATTTTGGACACAACTGGCGTGTCGTTAAATTTATCTTGTATCAACTAATTTCAAATAACTAATTTGTTGCAAATAAAAACTGGAATTGAGTTTTATGTTTATTGAAATATATTGGTTGAAAAAAAAAATTAACTAAGAATTGCTGCCCAAAAATATTGTATCCATACATCAAATAATTTATCAATAACTGAATTTAGTCATTGAAATATATTAGTTGAAAAATAAATTAACTAAGAATTGCTGCCCAAAAATATTGTATCCATACATCAAATAATTTATTAATAACTGAATTTATTCACTGAAATGTATTATTTGAAAAAAAATTACTAAGAATTGCTGACCAAAAATTTTGTTCTATACATCAAATAATTTATCAATAACTGAAATTTTTTTAATTGGGAGAAACTGATCCATCGTTTAAATATAACATACTAACAAATAATTTCAAATTAATAATTATGGCATTAAAAACTACAATTAAATTTTTTCATGTAGAAACCGATTAAGCTACGCATGACTGACTTCAAATAAGTAATAGTATATTTCGTGGAATTGGAAAAACTGATTGAATTTTTTTTTCGAGTATTTTCATATAATTTTGGTGAAAAACAGACTTAATTGAATCTTAGCGCTATAGCAAATAATCCAAAATGAACAGACTTATGAATCTCCTGAAATAATAGGGGTTGGGATTGTATAATTTTATCTATGAGTTATGCGGTTTAACTATATTTTCTTGTGTATGAGGTGAAGCAATAAATGCGTTAAAATTAAAAAAGTGAGTGCAGAAGGAGGTGTCGGTCACGGTCACAATCAGCCTCCCCCTCCCCATTCCCCCGAATTGAAAATCAGAGTAAAAATTCAATTTTTGATCCGAAGTGCAAAGTCGAATTCAAAATATTTGTCAGTTAAGGTATCCGGAGAAAACTTTAAGTCTCCTACCTGCATTTGTGTCCATTCCTTCGTCTCTGGTTTGTAAGAATAGAGAGACATCTTTCTTCAAGAGCAGGAACGCCGGGCTGTAGTTTGCCCATCACTTGGTTAGATGATTTATTAGACATGTGATGCCTCATCGCTTTGAATATTTCCTGACTTGAGTTTCTTAACATATCAATGAGTAGGTAATTGCTCTAATCATGATTAGGTTACATAATATATTTTCGTTTTGACTTGTGGGCCATAATCTCAGCTTATAACACCAGACACAATAGAAAGGACGTACACAGCGCCCCTGTCTCACGGAGAAAAATCAGGCACTGAAACAAAACGTCTGAAGGAGGTAACTAGCTGCATTTGAATACAATATTGAAGGCTGAGCCTAGGGTTTTATATATTAAGTGAATGACGCAAGTTTAATGTAAAGTGAGAATGATGTTTACTATAGTTTTAATCTCAAGATTTTATCATGAAACGTATCTTTCGTTAGATATGATCCAGTATTCGCTTAAATATTGTTCTTAACCAGGATGGATTCGGTCTGACTCTCAATAACTCAATACGGCGGAGAATAAAAATATATCACGTTTCATAGGAAAATCAAATATCGGCATGAATTTAACTATTCTTCGCGAATAAATCTCATGAGCAACTCCAGAAACTCACGATATGGTGGCAAAAGTTCTGCACAGTTTCTTAGCCTTGGTATCTTCACATCGTTAAGAGCTTGAAAAATATACGATAAGTAAGCCAACTGTAATATAAACTCCTCGTTTTCCAAATCCTTTTTGAAATCTTGTCTCTTAGCCTGGAAAAATGTGAACAGTTCTTGTCGAAGTTCAAAGACTCTTCTAGTGATATTTCCGCGAGAGAGCCAACGCACCTCTGTGTGGTAAAGAAGACACTTGTGATCTGAATTCAAATCTTCACACAATCTTGCAAACAGTCGAGTGTTAAGAGCAGATGTTTTGACATAATTCACCATTTTTATTATTCGATCCAAGCATGACAGTAGGTCCGGAGGGAGCACATTGACACAAAGAGCCAACCTGTGGATGAAGCAGTGAACAAATGTGGCGCGTGGGAATACGGTTTTAACATGCGATTGAAACCCTGAAATTCGACCAAGCATGGATGGAGCACCATCTGTTGTGCATCCAACCAACTTGCCCCAATCCAGGTCATTTGGGGTGAAGAATTTGGCGAAAACGTTAAAGACATCGATTCCCTTTGTTGTAGCTAACATATCCGTGCTCAGTAATAATTCCGAATAAAGCGGACATAAACGAGTAATTGAGAACACTTGGATCAGTAGATTCATCAAGTTGTATAGCAAAACCAAACATCGATCCTTCCACTCCAGCAATAACTTGATCTTCAATATCAATGGACATTTCTTTGATCCGTCGTTTCACAGTATCGTTAGAAAGCGATACACGATCTAACTTTGTCAGGGACTCTTTGCCAATCAGGTTTCTGACTAATATTCTTGCTGCTGGCAAAACAAGCGATTCCGCAATGGTGCGAGCTACTTGTTTTCAGCCACGAGAAGCGATACTTCATAGGATGCTTTCACAATCCCGGCATTCGTTTGGTGAAACAGACCTCTCTGGTCCATGCGCTGTCGCTTCACATGTTCCCCGAGTCGCTCAAAATAACTTTTATCGCGGTTCTTCTTATCTGCGTGATTGGATTCTAGATGTCGTTTAGGCAAACTCGGTTTCATCACTGAATTTGAAAGGGTTTTCATGCAGACTACGCACTGCGGTAAACTTTCTCCATTATGTTCGATAGCAATGAACTCATCTTTGATGTATTCGGAGGTATACTTTCGCTTCGACATGATTAAATAAGTAATCAAAAAAATACTGATGAATTAGCCTTAAAACTTAAGAGTATGCCTACCAACCAACATGTTTTGCAGGTAGCACTTGTAACATCCGTATCTCGATTTTTGACTCGCCTTGTCCGATTTTTCTCGATGCAGACGCATTGTGACATTACACGAAAAACGTGCAAGAACGTGCCCTTCTCGTTTCGTTTAAAGCGGGCAGTAGCGGGGAGGTCGATCTCTAAATACAAGTACGCGAAAGTTAATTATTGCAATTATTCAAAGCTGCTCGCGTACCACTTGGAAAGCTTCCGCGTACCACTAGTAGTACGCGTACCACAGGTTGAGAACCACTGAGTTAGAAGGTTTCCATTATATTTCAGTTGGACTGGAGCCGGTAGAAAAACGGTAAAATGGTCTCGAGTTAGAGAAGTTAGATTAATTCGTAATCTTTCAGAAAGAATTAAAATTTAATCCGATATATCACACTTGACGTATATGGAAGAACTGAAATTCCTAAACCAGGTTCAACAGGATAGATACATGTGAGTTATGCCTTACACTAACAGTTGCCAGAAGTCATAATCAAGAAATTAATATTACTCCCGCAAAGATATCTAGTCAAAATGATATAATTTTATTGAAATATTACTGGGCTTGACAGTATTGTACACAATAAAAAACTTGGTATGAGCCTACATTGGAACTATTCTTTGTGAAGTCAACTTCCTAAAAAGTGTTTCAGCCAGGAGATTTATTCAAAATTGGTAAATTCTTTCAAAAAGGGAAAAATATACACATTAATGAAAATTAAACAAAAAAATGACAAAGTAACAAAAAATGATCAAACAACACAAAATCTGTACGAAGTTAATTTATCGTTCTCACTGCAAGGGGCAAGACATTAAGTTACACTGCAGCCACATCATGAGCTTGGTGGGAATTTATTGCTTCAAGAGAAAACAACAAACAATGATTTCACAAATAAATTTGTGGGCGAATATTATTTATTTGATGAGCTGAAGTATTGGGAAAATCAGGATCTGGCTTACTGAATATTTGACGATTTTACTGAATTGTATGGTATGTGAATATGGTAATACATATTGCTGTAAACGGTCATGACATTATACATAATGACTTACACATTAGGAGCGAGAATAGAAAAACGTGACTTTTCGGCGTTAAGGTTAAGTCCACAATGTATTTATAATAATCACCCATCTTATTCCGTTCCTTGTTAAATGGCGAAATAAAACAAATGATTTTGACAAATTAGTGATTGTCTATCAATTTTAGATATTTGTGAAACGTATAATTGACAGTCAACTTCTGTATCAATGCCAACATTGGTCATCACATTTTTTACTTTGATTACAAATATGAGTTTAGAAAAGACTTAATTGAACAGGTCAACTAGACAAAAAATTAATTGTTCTCATGGCAGAGACTTCAAAACTTGATTAAGTGTGCTTCTAGCAATATGAATCGAATTCTATTTATAGCCTGGTTATAAATTTATTAATAGAAAGAAACCAAGTAATTTGGGTTTAGAGAAATAATAGCGTTTGTGCAACATTTGTACTTCAGATCTTATAAATACACAATAAAAATATACACATTAGTAAAAATATACAAAGTTGAATAAGTAAATAGAACATCAACAAACGATAATCCAAGATAAGACCTGTACGGGTTTAAATTGGGATGGAAAATTATCATTCTCTCCGAAATAACCAGCACTGTGACTTATATCCCAAACCATTGATAACGCAATAAACTATACTGCAACTATGTCATGAGCTTGGTCAAAAATTGTTGTTTCGAGAGAAGATTTTTTTTTATAAATAAGTCTTCTGAAGAATATTAATTACTTGGATGATTTGAACTATAGGAAAAATCCAAATCTGTAATATATGAATCACAATAGGAACTTCTTGAAACATGAACATTGATCAATATTTATAATATTACGTAGATTCATAGATTTTTTGAAGTACGACTTATAATAAGATAATAATAATAAGTAATGAATAAACAACTAAATGGGAATCCAAACAAAATATTTGTTTCTACTTCACATGAAATATTGACAATAAACTAAAAAGAATGACAGCCTACGGGCACGGGAAATTGAGCGATTTTCGTGTTATTAGTGGAAACCCAATTATTCAAAATCCAATTAAAAATTATCAGTACGACGTTATAAAAAGATAATAACAATAAGTAATAAATAAACAATCAAGCGGGTATGCAAACAAAATATTATTTTTTTGCTCGCACACAAAATATCGGCAATCAACTAACAGGTATGGCGTGTTAAAATCATGTGATTTTTTAGTCGACAGGCACTGGAATTAGATTTGTATGAATCTATTTTGATGGCATGATTTGCCAAAATCATAAGTATTTAATTATTAATGAAAGAATCCAGCATTCAAAACTGCTGTACATGGAAACGTTTTTTTCTAACAGACTATCGCATATTCTGACTTATTTCTATTTTTGGGTGACTTGGGAAATAGTTTTACCTATATAAATATGGTAATAGATGCTACTGGCGTCGTTTGTAATTTATCATATGGAAATAATCGAACTCGTGAATTAGTAGCATTATCAAAACTGTGCTTTCAGCGTTCAGTCAATTTTGTCAAATATCACTCCGTCAAATTTTGACGGAGAATTTGTACATTCAAGTTTCATTAATCAAAAACTGCATTTGCAAGTATAGAACCATACAAGTCTCAAAAATATATAGTTAAAGATCTATATTTAAACTGTATAACTAAAGTGGAAAACTCATCAATGGAGTGAAATTCATAAAACCAAAAAGCAAAAATTTATTTATTTTGTTGTTAAATTTAAGTAGTAATTGATAATAATAAAAGCGACACGCAAATATAGATTCACACACATCTACAAAAATTGTTATTGTTTTTTTATTGAATTTTGTTATAAAAGAACGTAGGTCTATGGATACACATGACAAATCAACAGAAAAAAATATTTTTTTCCATTCCTGGTTCGTTATAAATTAACATAGGACTACAGATATACACATCTACAAAATTTTTATTTGTTTTTAACTTTTTTTTGTTATAATGACACATAAGGGCTACAGATACACACACCTACAAGATTTTATTGCTCTCATTTATTTTGTGATATAAAATGACACATAGGGCTGCAGATACACACATCTACAAAAAAAGTTATTTCTGTTTTGTTATAAGAACACATAGGGCTACCGATACATATGATACATCTACAATATTTTTATTTTATTTAAAATGACACATAGAACTATAGATACACAAGTCTACAACAATTTTTTTTTCCAATTCTGCTATAATGATATTACGATATGCTTAGTGAAGTGAACCATTCAATTACAAAGTAAACATTGCAACCAATTTTTATACCTAATTATCACGTTAACTAATTACCGTGACAAATTATTTTGAGTTCATTCAAAACAGCAAATGTTTGTTTGAGTAAGTATCAGAGTTCACGAAATTTTTAAGCGAATAGGTTTCACGAAGTTATGTTCATACAGTTATATTACCATAATTTTCACAGAAATATTCAGCAATTTTGTCAAATTCTTGGACTATGATATTTTAATTAACCTGACATCACTTTATCTTGATTTTTTTTTTAAATTAGTACAGTTTATTATATTTTATATATCTGTTTTGGAACTAATCGAATTAATTCTTTGAAACAATTGCCATACTCAATTCCAAACCAAATTTTTATTTCTTCTCTCAATTCATTTCCGAGCAACGAGCGGTGATCTGAGGATGAAATCTTTCTATTCTATCCATCTATTACATTTGATTCAGTTTATAGAACTATATAATTTTGCATTTGTGCTCTAACTTTAGAGTTAGAATCAGCAAAAAAGTTCGAGGGCAAAATGCTCTATTCAAGTTCATTAAAAAATGTTTATATGTCGTGTCTTTTAATTAGTTTCTATATTTCTATAATCTGACAGGGAGAATATAAATTTTGTTGTCGTTCCCTCTAAACACGAGTTTCGCATTGAATTGGGGATTGAATTTCTGAAAATAAAAAAAAATAAATTAGTTTATTGCGTGGCTCGGGTGTAGGTAAACGATGGGGCAACATATTGAGGACAATGAGTGTAAAGCTATAAATCAGAATTTCAAGCGGTTTCGATTCTATGTTGATATGGCCTAATCCAATCATTGCATCCTGAATCAGAGAAACTTGTTGAATATGTTTTGAAGTGAATTTAAAAAGATGAATATACACTTGAGTACCTACGACTCTTTGTAATGGCGTTGTTAAATTTTCCATATGTTGTCGTGAACCACTCTGAACATCTCTTCTATTACTACCTGCTTTCTTCGCATCTTTAAAAAGAAAAATTGAGTCATTTTCCGAGTTCATTCATTTTTTCATTTGACACTTTGAAGCAACAGAGAGTCTATCACACTTCATTCATCAATATTACCGTACAAGATGATGAAAGAATACAAAAATAGCAAAGAAACCCTCTAGCACTGCGTGTCGCAACAATGATTAGCCGGATTCGTGGACTAAAAATCGATTACTTTCTTGTTCACTTCTTAAATAAGAATTACTTTTTTCCTATGGGGAGAAAGGCCGATAAAATTGCTTAATCATAATCTCGTTCAGTTACCTTTCCGTGTCGGAAATGAAATTAGTTAGTCTGTTATTTGTATCCAGATGCATGGACTTGATGGTGCAGTAATACGTAACTGACCAGCGGATACGTAAACCACCCTACGGCGACGAAGATTTTAGCTTTCCTCTTCCCATAATTATCTTCCAACTGATTTTAACCGACACACGGTAAGCACAGGTTCTGTGGCAAGCGACACACGGCAAGCACCGCTCAGAACGGTGTGATACACCACTTGTATCTGATGGCTAAATCCTATTTATCTTTATGTGTCACCCGTGGTAGTCACGTGATAAATATACTAGTACAGCCTCATACATCAACCAAATAATTGAATTGAGGTTACGAAACTTACCGCGAACACATCGTCCCATGGTATTTTTGTAAATCCAAGATCTCACGGGGCTTAGTTTCTTCCACACGTAATCAGGGCCATCAGAATATAGGAAAGGATTGAGGCCGCTGTTGATCGGAATGATAATCAAACCTACAGGAACGTATGCATCATATGGTATGTTGATGCCTGAATAAATAGAAAGATAATGTATGCATATTATGGTATGTTAATGTTTAGATGGAGAGAAAGATAACGTATGCATCAAAAATCTTGCAGGTGTGTATCTGTAGCTATATGTGACATTATCACAAAATAAAGATAAAAATTAATCAAATTTTTGTAGATGTGTATATCTGTATTCCTATGTGTCCTTATACCAAAATAAAAAGAATTCTGTGGATATGTGTATCTGTATTTCTATGTTTCAATATACCAAACAAAAATTTTTTTGTTGATGTGTCATGTCATGTGTATCATCTATAGACGTTCTTTTATAACAAAATTAAATATAAAAAAATAAAAAATAGAGAGAGAAATATTTTAATATAACAGATCAAGCATGTATTTAAAAAAATCATATAAAATAAAATTCACAAAGGTAGTGTTTTTACATTGTGAAAGGTCGTCTTACCAGAAACTTGTAAGAAGCCCATTATGCAGACAGGCATCCAGCAAAGAAAATCAGTGAGAATAATCCGAGTGATTTTTTTTTGCATTTTTATTGCTCTTTCTGCCTTTAATTTGTCACTGACGGCAGCATTCTGTTCTTGTGTTTTCCTGAAATATTTACAAAATCAGTGAACTAAGTCAATATATTTATCTCTTGGACTGTTAATGTAAACATGTTTACTGCTATTTAATATAATAGCTAAAAACTACGGGCGAGGTATTTCATGCAAGAAACGAGAAGAGTTGCCAACAGACAAGAAATAATTTGCCTGAATTATTAATAAATGTGACAATGATGTCTGTCTATTCCTTCCCTTCTGTGTTGTCGCTAAAAAAGTATTTTGGAATTTTTTATTCTAATGATGGGTTTATTTGTGAAATATATATTTTATCCAAAATTAGCTGCATTTGAAATTTTTTTTTTTCATCTTTGATATAGTTTTCGATAGAGAAATAATACAAACATACCTGTATATTTGGACGTATCCGATAAGAATGACGAAGAATGCGATGAAATTTACGATTAGGATGAACAGTGAATACAACCAAGCAGTGTCAGTATCAGGGTTTGGGAACAAAGTGGGAAGACAAACCCCGTGAGTGGAGTAATATCCAAACCTACGTTCAACCTTGTATGTCGAATTTAAATCACTGATTAGCGATTCTAGCAACGACCATGTTCCAAGTTTTCTAAATAAAAAAAATGACTTTTTTACACAACGATATTGCTACAGAACATTTTCAACCGCGGGTCAATTAATCTACAGGGTGATATAAACCCATCTATTTCTCGAGTGAGAAATTGGGCAGCTTGAACGTTCGTTTTTTGAATCGAGTATCCTCATTTTTAAATGGGCCGTCGAAGAAAGCTTTGTCCAATAAGAAGAAGTTAAAATTCGTAGAAAATATTTTCCTAAGAAACCTTATAATAATAAACATTAAATCGAAAATAATTTTTTTTTTGGAAAGTAATATTCATCTACGACATTGATTTTTTGTAGCAATATTACAAGTTCTGAATATATCATAGCAGTTCGTACTCACTCTTCTATAGCAGGATCATCTTCGAATCTCTGTTTTGTTAGAAGTGAACGAGACAGATTTACAAC